GGCGCTGTCCGTATGAATCATATCCAGGGTTGGCGGCTGAGTTTTCTGTTGAGGTGGGAGAGGGAGCGTTCCAGGGATCACTTCCTTCGCTTTCCCCTTCGCTTTCCTCCTCGGTAATGGGAGAGAGAACACGCTGGTCCATCCCCCTTTCGTAGACTCCTCACTCTTCTTCTTCTTCAACGACTGGGCCTCTTTGTGTGGGCCATCCTTCCATCTCGGTGTCGGACTCACTGGACTCGTCTGTTTCGGAGTCCTCTGTGATCCACTCGTCGTCGTTGATGAAGATGAAGTGGACAATGGGTGCGGGTCGGTCATCAACGTAGTCGGGGGGGGGGGGGGGGTGTGTCCGGTCGTCTAGCCTCTGGGTTGGGGGCTTCGATGGGGAGAGTTTCTTTGGAGACTGGCTCCTGGGTTTGTCGGTATTCGTATCCATATAGGAACGCGAGGTAGGCTACGGCAATGAAGCCCTGTAGTCCAAAAAGGTCAGTGAGGTATTGTTCGATGGGGTTCATTCGTTACTGTTCTTCAACGTGGTTGTTGATGAAGAGTAAGAAAGTCTCGAACTAATTGTTAGCGACCGATTTCACAAACAAGATCAAACAACTAAGTGTGACTCGCACTTCGGTCAGGCGCTTTGTGTTGTCCACAGGTTTGCGTTAAGGGAGCTATCGCTTAGTTGAGCGAGAGTGAGTTCAGACTAAGTTATCGGGTGAATAAACTTTAGTTCGAGACTGAGGTTTAAGACCTGCAGTCGAGCTACTTAAATACAGTTTGGGTCATGCTAAATATACTACAAGTGTCTGCAACGGTGCGGTAAACGTACTGAACCCTCATGGTAGAATGCGATCAGGTCCGGAGAGTTGGCATAGCGAGATTATGAGAGAGCTGATAAGATAAGATAAAGCGCGAAATCGTAATACTATCCCCCTCTTTAGGGTAGACGTCCCATCGTCTAGTGAGGGCATCCGGTTTCCCACCAAGTTTACCCGGTCGGAACCGAATAACAAGGTTGAATTGAGAGAGGAATTCGGACCAGCGCACTTGATGTTGAGTAAGGACCTTGGTAGTAGAGAAGTACTCAAGGTTCTTGTGATCTGTAATGACATCAACGGCTTCTGCAGAGCCTTCGAGGTAGTGGCGCCAGTATTTGAAAGCTTCAAAGATGGCTAGAAGCTCTTTATCATGCGTATCGTAGTTGAGTTTGGCACCATGGAGACTCCGGGACAAGGAGATTGGATGGATCTCACCATCCTCTAGGTAAATGGATAGGATGGCGGCAATAGCGTAGTCGGACACGTCGGTTTCCACAACCAGTTGACAGTCGGGAAGCCAGTGGGTGAGGATAGGAGCATGAGTAAAAGCCTGCTTCAACTCATTGAAAGCGGATAGGCATTCTTTGTCGAATTTCCATGGAGTTCCTTTGCGAGTGAGTCGTGTTAAGGGCAGGACGATCTCACTGTACTTGTGAATAAAACGGCGGTAGAAATTAGCAAAGCCGAGGAAGGATTGGATATCCTTGACCTTGCATGGAACTGGCCAGTCAGTAATAGCTTTGACCTTGTCTTCAGACATGCGTAAGCCTTCGGGCGAGAGAATGTAACCAAGATATTCGACGGAGTCCCGATGGAATTCACATTTGGAACCCTTGCAGTAGAGGCCATTAGCCCTGAGTCTGCGAAGGACTTCGCGTACATGTTTTCAGTGATCCTCAGGATTGTCGGAGTAGATAAGGATGTCATCAAGGTATACGATGACAGATACATCGAGCATATCAGAAAAGATGTTGTTGACGAAGTGTTGGAAAGCCGTGGGAGCGTTAGTGAGTCCAAATGGCATGACACGCCATTCAAAGGAGCCGTAGCGGGTCCGAAAAGCGGTTTTCCATTCATCACCCTCGGCTATGCAGATGAGATGATAGGCATGACGAAGGTCTAGCTTGGTGTAGAGACGAGCGGAACACATGGAATCAAGGAGGTTGGAAATGAGGGGCAAAGGGTAACGGTCTTTTTTAGAGATTTTATTAAGGCCACGATAATCTACACAGAGTCTAAGTTCACCGGTTTTCTTCTTGACAAACAGTACTGGAGCTCCGTGCGGAGAGCGGGAAGGAGTGATGAAACCATTACAGACGTTATCGTCAATAAACTCGCGTAAGGCTTTTAGTTCAGATTCAGAAAGGGAATAGATGGGTCCGAGTGGAGGGGTGGAGCCTTCCTCAATATTGATCTTGAGGTCATAAGGGCGATGCTCCGGGAGCTTTTCAGAAAGGGAATCACTGAATACATCAGCAAATTCATGGTACTCCGGTGGGACATCGGATAAGTTAGCGGGGGCCGCGGAGGTCGCCTTGCCATTAACACTAGGCATAGAAGGCTGCAATGTGAACTGCTGAGCCCCTTCTTCTGCACAAGCTCAGACAAAAGTGGCAGCCGAAATAATAGATATCTTGGGGGCAGCTGAAGCACCAAAGGAAGGAATGGTAGGGTAGGAATAGATAGGTTCATAAGGCGGCGGAGCCTGTCGGGATCTCGATTTTGTTATGGAAGATGATGATTGGGATGGTTGGATTGGACTGGAAGAGTCCGAGTGGACTGGCACATGTGTGTCAGCAGCCGCAGAAGTGCTTGATGAAGAAACACCCGATAATGGTGAACAGAAAGTGATACTGTGCTTTACCCAGTCAATCGATAGATTGTAGCGGGAGAGCCAGTTGTATCCCAGAACGATGTTACAAGATGAATCTAGACGAGTGACGTAGAAGTCAATAGGGAGGGTGTCTCCGGAAGGGAAACGGATTGGAAGGGAAATAGATTGGGAGATGTGAGACCCGACGGAGCCGTCGAGAAGCCGAAGTTGGACAGGTGGGATAGGTTTGGTAAGGAGATTGTGATCCTCAACATACTTCGAATCAACAAAGCAGTGGCTAGAGCCAGAATCAATGAGTGCAAGAAAACGAAGAAGAGTAGAAATGAGTGAACCGTCGGACTCCAATCCAGAGCCGACTTCAGATAAGAGAGAGACAGTTAGGGAATGATTGGAAAGAGTGGCAGCGTTGAGGGTTATGATCTCCAGTGCACTGTGACAGTCAACGCAACCCTGTCCTAGTGCAGAGGATACAGGGTTGCTCTCTAGTTTTCTGATTCCGATGGAACCGTTTCAATAGAGGCAGTGGACTCGGGAGTAGGGGCAGGAGTAGCTGCAGCAGCACGACCCCGAGCAGAGGCCGCGGCTTTGTGCTTGTTGCAATCTTCAGTCTTGTGCTTACCTCCACAGAACATGCAGAGGTTATTCTTCCGACGGCGGTCTTTTTCTTCTTGAGTAAGATGGCCATCTTTGCTGAGCTTGTCAGCGTAGGGCTTAGGGTTGGAAGAGGAAGAGTTGTTGGGGGAAGACGAAGATGATCCCACAGAGCCCAAATGGGAGGACTTTTGGCTCACGGAGTTGGAGTTGGGAGAGACAAAGAGTTAGAACCCTTTGCCTTGTTGCTGTTGCTGGAAGAGGAAGATGGGTTACTGCGATTTTCTCGGGAGATTTTGGCTTTCCGAGTCCAGTAGCAAGTGTCGAGCTCTTGAGCGAGATTCCACATATCACGGAGATTATCAGGTTTCCCGTGGTGGGCCATATCATCCTTGATGCGAGAGCAAAGGCCACGGTAGAAGGCATGACGAAGGGAGTTGTCGCCGTAGCCAATAATGGCAGCATACTGATTGAATTTGACAATATACTTCATGATGCGGTCTCCGTCACGCATCCGAAGATTTTCAAGCTCATCTTCGGCATCACCGATGGCGTCGAAGGGGCCAAAGTTGGTGCGGAGTTCTGAAAGGAAAGTGGTATAGGAATATGCCCAAGCAGGGGGGTTGCAGTGATTAGGGTGGAGGATATCCGGTTCGAACCAGTCAAGGGCGACACCGGAAAGGAAGGAGATAGCGTAGTTGACTTTTGCCATATCCGATCGGAAGGCGTCGGGACGGTCGTTGAAGTTCAACTGGAGGGAGACAATGAAGGCCTTAAGTTTTTGGGAGTCCGAACTGTCAAAGGTATCTGGTTCCTTGACCTTGGTGCATACCACATGTTGTCAATTGCCATTGACAGCATCGGAGATGCCGTGGAGGACATTCATGAGTTGAATGAGGATCTGGGCGTCGTTATTGGGAGGATTAGGATTGTTACCAGGATTGTTGTTAGGTCCTCCTCCGGGACCACCAGGACCTCCAGGGCCACCAGGATTGGGTGGGCCACTGCCAGGATTTCCTGATGGGTTTCCACGGCCATTCATTGGCGTGTGAGGGGGGAATTCCCCGTCTTCCGAACCTTGGTCGTCGTCGTCATCACGACCTGGGATGTCATCAAACAGAGAGGTAGTTGGGTTCCGCGGGGGGTCGCTTTGATACTCGCCCCAGCCATTGGATTCTGATCGCTGGGCTAGGAAGGGGTTAGGCGATCGGTTAGCATCGGATTGGCGAGCAGTGAAGCCACTGTGAAGGTAGGTTTCCCTATGGGATTGTTGGCGAGGGGCGGAATCTGATCCGAAGAGAAGGGGACCCTCTTTTGAAGCAGAGGCAGGGATATCGTCCATGGTGTAGGTTCAGTTGTTGGCCGTGGAGTTGCAGCTGGTTTCTGGAGGCACAGTGAAAGTAGAAGACATGGTTAGGAAGAAATTTCGACTCAAGGGTTTGAGTTCGAATATACTGTTAGGATCATGCCAATAGGATTGCGGCAGAAAGTGCACGTAGTGGAATGCCGCGGGATGCGTCAGGCGTAGGTGAAGCTATTAGCAACATCACCCCTGAGCCGAAGCCCTAAGATGGATACGGACGGAAGTCCACAGAGTGGCAGAGATGAGGTAAGAGATAAGTCCAATGGATTGGAGTTCCGTGGACTGGAGAACGAGAGTTTAGACTTAGAGTCAGAGAGAGAGAGAGATTGGGCTGAACCAAGTTGATATTCGAACTGAGTATCTACAGTGTAATTCTAAGGCTTATATACTAGTTAGGAGTCCGATCTAGTTCCTACTCGGAGTGGTCTACATTCTAGGGTTGTCGGAGGATGTATTCTACCGGTCGGTAGCTGATGGGGTCCGATGACATGTTCGCTACCGATGTTGGGCTATTGATAAATTGTAATGGAGAAGTGAAATATAAAAAGGAATATGAAATAGAATATGAAATAGAAAGTGGGAATCGGAATCCGTAGGATTCCGGGCTGTGGTTTGTTGGGTTGAGTGGAAGTCGGGTTTCCATCGGCATGCTCGTTACAAACTGTAGGAATTCGCTTGATATCTCCAGTATGTATTTGTCCTATCAGGCTGCTTGCTGATGTCATGAGTACATCACTGCTAAACAAATAGAATGGTTTTTCTTTTGCAGTGGACAGTATGGGGTTAATGGGTTGAATGAGATGACCTGGCACAGTACAAATTGTGGGTTGAAGATGACTAGTAGAGTGCCAGTCACTTTTAAGGGATGGGTCATCATCCTGAGTTGTTGGAATGAGATCAACAATTTGGTATGTTACTGTAGATGTATCTTCTTTGAGAAGATCTAATGGTAGCTTCTCTAGAGAGTCCAAGTTGAGGTGAATATCAACTACTTCAGCAACAGCTAGAAATATGTTCTTCTCACAATAGACAAGTGTAGTGATAGGCTCACTCAGCATCAGGCTGGGCTCACTGGATGTAGACTGGTGACCAATGATTGTCATGGGACTTGTGTGTGAATGTGCAAATCTTCTCTCACCAGCAACACGTTGCAGCTGATTTGTTGATGTTGGTATATAATGGTGTTTTGATCGAATTGCAAGAGCATGAGCTTTATTTAGCTTCTGGCCATCTAAGATAACCTCTGAGGAGAATTTTTGGGATGTACTGCTTAACCCAATATTCTCCATTGTCAATGCTTCTTCAATGTCTTGTGAATAGGGTATACCCATGATACTAGTAATTGGCTGTACATCCTGATTTCTAGATTCCTCCTGCTCTTTATCCTCATCCTCATTGTCATCAGGTGCATAGGGTTGAGAGAGAATCAGAGTGCCAAAGGGTCATAGAATATCAATATCAGATGTGCTATCAATAGCAGACATAAGTGGCCTGATCTCTGGTGTTTCTCCCAATGCCATAGCCTTTCCTTGTTGCCAGCAAGTTTGGAGTGAAACTGAAAGCAATGAGACATCACCTCTCCAAGTAAATGGTGTAAGATGGTCCTCATTTTCAGGAACTCTTGATGAGTCTCATGCAAGTGCTGGAAGATGAAGTCATTGTGTTCCATGATCCCAATTTGGGTGTCTAGCCAGAATATTGGCAACTTCAGTTGTTCCAGTGAGCCTGGTAACTAGCTGCAGCATATCAACATTTGCATCATTGCCCACCATGGTCCGAAGAATACCAAATAACTTCTCTAAACCATCTGTTCCAAGTAAAATTATGTAAAACTTTTCATTTGGTGTATCTATCTTAGCTTTGGCCACACAGAAATAGACATTCTTGATAGTTATCATAATGTCACCAAACAGAAGGGTAGGAAAAAAGTGTTTCTGTGATGCTCAGAAAAGTATAAGATTAAGGTGTGCTGCAGCACTGAGATAACAAAGCTGCTCAGACAATGTCAAGTCAATGCAAATGTAAGGAAAGAGAATATATTTGCAAAGCCTCCCCAGTATTCGAATTGCATTTCATGCATGAGCAAAACCAGGCTTCTCACTTGATACTTCAGGAAGACTCCATATATCTTTAAGTAGCTTATATGCAAGTTCAACATTCTGTTTATCATTTGGCTTGAATAGCTCATGTATATGAGCCTCTGAATGACCTTCAGATCGAAGATGTGATTGAATCATTGTTGGTGTGATATGTACATCAAGAATAGAGACACCACATAACCTGATGAAAAGGTTTCGAAGCCGTTTGAATACATGTTTATAATCCTTATCAGCAGTGATGTCATTATCTCCTACAAGGAAATTCATGAAGCGCAGGGTACATGGGGAAAGATATTCATAGATAGGAGAGTTCAAAGCAAGTTCCTTCTTGCATGTAAGAAGCGCCAATGCTCCTCCACGTTTTGTCTCCCCATCTGAAGCAATAGAGACTAAGTGAAGCATATTGATTGTCTGCTGATGGTTGATAGCAGTTAGAACAGTCTTGAGAATATAGGCATGTTCCAGAGCATTCTCTTTCTTGCATGTTCCAGATACAAGAATTGGACGAGCTGCATAAAGTCTTTTGTCATTACTTAGAATTGATAATGCACCAACAGTAGCCTGTATAATTTAAGTGAGCATTGGCTTAAAAAGTGACTGAGAAAGTTATTACCTCAGATGCATAGTGAACCTCATTATTGTCAATAGCATTAAACACCTCATCCATTGATTCACTGGTTTTGAACTCAAGATCAACATTATGTGAGTGCTTCCGACATAGTCCCATGATCATGTTTGTTGAATAGTCCCATCGAGGGCGCTTCTCAACTGCTATCTCATCAAACATCAAAATAACTTGAAGAACACCTGCAGGAAGAGATTGGAGGACTGAAAGGATGCTCTCAAAGCAAGCAGCAATATTCTTCTCAATTTCAGTGAGTGAAGGTTGGCCATATGAAGGGATGATGGAAGGAACAGTTGAGTGATGCTGAATGGTAGTCATGCTAGGGAGACCAAGTGCACGGTGAGCAATTTCTGCAAGATGTATACCTCCTAATCTCCAGATCAAAATTGCTAGCATTTCCTCTTCTTCTGTGAATGATTTTGGATGGTATACACCTTGTGAAGCTGCCTTGTACAAGTCCAAGATTCTCTTTATTCCCTTCTTATTCTTCAAGGCAATTCGGATAAGTTTTTCAGCATTTGTGAAATTTCCATGTCCTATCTGCAAGATGAGTTGCTTATAATTATCTAACTCTCTTGTACAACTCAGCAACTTTCTCTTCATATTCAAATGTTTCAGCCTCATATTATTAATCTGCTTATTCTTCTGATGAAATTTCTTGGTAAGTTCTCCAAACCCACGATAAGAAAGTGTGGTGTTCTCATGGGTCCCCTCCACTGCACATAGCTCTATCCCTTTTAAAATAGGTTCTTGACCCAGCTTTATGCATGACAAGCAGCTTTCCATGCCATTGCTATCATCAAGCTGATATTGGCAGGTTTGTGCATGAAGCCGGAGGATACCATTGCGAGACTCATAGTCCCAGGGAAGTGAGAGTTCATCATGTAGTGCAAATGGATATAACATATGAGGTGATTTGTCAGGAGGAAAGGTGGGCAAGTATCCTTGACAATATCGAGAAGGTACTGATATTACTGTAGCTCGTGCAGAGGGTTCTATAAGGGTATCTACATCAATGATCTCATTTGTAGGCACTGGAAGCTGCTGGGAGTATGAGGTATGTGATCCCATAGCATTGCCGACAACCAAATTGCCGGGGGGTGACTGCATCGATAGGGCCTGTTCTCCCGGTTTGCTAGCACCGGCAAAACTCAAAGGCTTATGTCTAGCAAGACTGTGTCTTGGTAGTGAGTTACCATCACCCTCACAAGCAATTAAGGAACTCACATGGACTGAATAGCTGCAGTGAAGCCTCGAACTCGGGAATCAAATAGCATGGGATTGACACCACGCTGTTCAACAAAGTAACGGACAAAGCGACAGAACCCGCTTATCCCATTCTCGCCCACACGAACAAGAGGTGCAAGCTCGAGTTCTGATTTGCCAAGGAAAACGTGCATCTTCCGGTTCAAAATCTTCTCCCACAAGTCTGCCGACGCAATAGTAGGATCATCATAGAGAGCAGGATCTCCTGAAAAGGCTGCGAGTATATCACTGGGAGCCGCGACTGGAAAGTTCTCGGGAAGAAGCGCAATACATGATTCTAGTATATTGATGGGGTTGTTGATCTCAGAGACAGAAGCGGATTGTGTCGAAAGTGATGTAGTGTGAGAATGCAGAGACTCATTATGGCTGGTATATGCAGAAGAGGAGATTGGCGGTGTACTGGGGTGAACACTTTGAGGGCCTGCAAGCCGCGTAGAGTCTGGTGTCGGAAGGTTGGAAGAATCATGGAGGTCGGCGGCTCTGGCATGAAGAGTCGGGTATGTTTGGGTGGGGGGTATCGACAGAACTGCATGCGATGAGTTGGTATTAGTGCATAGATGCGGAAACTCGCAGTTTGTAGGTCTTTCCATTGTGGTTGTGGAAGAGCGGTGAGAGCGAGGTGCACGCGTTGAGGGCCTTGATATAGGAAGGCAGGAGGCCGCATGGAGACCGGCAACTCTGGCACGGAGATTCGGATATATCTAACCGAGTGATATCGATAGAACTGCAAGGGCGAGCTGCGATTAGCGCAGAAACATGGAGATTACAGTGTGAAGGTCGTGCCATTGTGGTTGGCAGAAAATCCCGGCTATCGGACCGAATAACCGGCCAAAATGCAAACTCTCCTACGTTCTCGTTTCTTCTGTTCTCAACACCTCGTCATAAGGGCAGCCAAACCTTCACTCCTCTAATAACAAGAGTACCCCTCGCTCAACGACGAACCTATGCTAAACAAGCTCACTCGACGTCCTCCCTCAAACCAGGCTCTCAACTGAGATCGGGAGCGGGTTCATCGAAGGGTCGGGTCAGCTTCGCTTGCCGTGGCGATGAGAAGACCAATAACGAGTGCCATGTGATAGTAACACTCGGGCAGATACCTAGTCCTGGCCTTGAAGTGTTACTACACCTTCAAGCTTCAAGTTTGGTCTCCCATGTTAGGATGAACTCCGGCGACGAAGGCATCCCGGGATCGTCTTCGAGAATGGCGTCAAGAACGTAGGGAATTGTGTTTCCACGAGAACGACGAGTGAACTTGAGGTTGTTCGCCTCGATTTCTGGGAGCCGTTCAGGGGTGCACCTAAGACGCGGGCCGAAAGGGAGATATGCGTTTCCGTTCCAGACGCTGATCCACGATCCCAGAATACGAAGGTGTACGGTCTGTTGGATCCAACCAGGATAGCCATGGCCGACAGAGGATCATCATACATGCTTACAGGACGAATGAGAGGGAAGTGGATAGTTGCATCACGTAGGACGACTTTGGGAGCAGGCTTCAGTGCTAGGGACCTGGTAAGGAAGATACTCTTGTCTTTACGGCGACGCTTGTGGTGGTAGTTGATGTACGTCAGGTCGTTGCTGTCTATCGATCTTCTCGTAAATGAGATCTATATGCAGCGAGTGGCCGTAGTCTTGAGTTGGAGTTTACGTCTGGGGCAAACTCAACAAGTACATGATGGGAAGGCTCGAACACTTTATCAGACTTGCGCTAGGAACATCGTTCTCGAAGTCAGCCGTGATGGAGATCAACCGAAGGTGATTATGCCAAGCGCTGAAACGTGTACAGATGCCGATGTGCTGACGGAACTTGGATAGCACGCGCTGGCAGATTTCGTACACCAGTGGAAAGGGCATGAGCTTGACGCATGTATTGGCTACGTCGATCTGGTAGCAGTGCGCTCAGATAGGGATTCCAAAAGGACGACGGCATCAGAGAGAGGGAAGGTGACATGGCAGCAGCCTAAACGATTGCTGTCGATAGTTTCGCGCTCCCACAGCTAACATACGCGCCGTCCGTATCCCAGCTTCCCATCTCACAGAGGTGAACTCTCGGCGCGTCGTACGAGCCCATCGTGACTGCCATCGGGAGCTCAGAGAACTCACTCTCCTGCATGCCGAAGCATTCCAGCATACCTGTTTGCCGCAGGATACTATCATAGTCGAACGGTAGAGGTCGTTTTGTCCGGGGCCGTCTGTAGGCGGTGTTCATGAGCGTCATGCAATTTGAGGGGACGCGTGTCAGTTATGAAGCCTTCTTCACGGAAGATCTCGTTGATCCGGCTGAACAAAGGTTCAGGCTGAGATGGGCCAACCCATAGGACATGGGCACGACGTCGGGATTCCCTTCTGAGGACATCGAGCGTGTCAAGGGTAACGGTCGGGGCCATATCTGTGAGCAGAAGGAGAGTCGATAGGCGGTGCAGGAGGTCGAGTGCAGTCGGAAGGGTCTCGGGGGTGAGATTCATGACGCCGAGGGTGAGATGTACGCGCCGAGGACCAGCGAGCAGCGTACAGTCTGGTACAGGAAGATTGAGGGCGGCATGAGGTTCGGCAACTTTGGCACGAAGCGTCGGGTGTACTTGTCCGAGAGGTATCGACAGAACTGCAAACGGTGAGTTGAGATTAGCGCGTAGACGGATACACTCACAGTGCGTAGGTCGTGCCATCGTGATTGGGGAAAAGCTTCGGTTATCGGGCCGATTACCCGACGAGGCCTTCACTCCCGCAGACTCTTTATGTTCTCGTCTCTTCTTGTCTCGACACCTGGTCATAAAGAAAGCCAAGCCTTCTCTAAGGCCTCTCATAACATGGATATCCCTCCGCCGACAAATAAACTACGCCAAAAAGGCCCAGTCAATGGCCTCCCTGAAGCCAGGTTCCCAACAACCACTCACCAACCCAACCGACATTGCCGAGCACAGTAAATGCCAAGAGAAAATGAAATCGGAGGTCGACTGGCTAAGACGGTACTGTGCTGACGCCTCCACATGCGCTTCTGGACGAGTGATGCCTGCCCTACTCGCCAACATCCGTGCCCAAGGTCAGAAACTGGAAGAAATCGCTACGGTCGGTGTTCGAGATGGGAGTATGCTCGTAATGACAGTATTCGACGAGGACGTAAGTCTCTTAGTTTTTCGTTGATTTTAGCTAATCAAAGTAGTAGAACCTCAAACATGTCGAAGCTGCAATATATGATGCTAAAACACCTTCCATCACGCTCTAGAGGCAGGATACACGGAGGTTGAGAGTCACTGTGCCCAAGCCGACGCTCAATGCCAAGTCGTTGGTCGTCGCTGCTGCAGGGAAAAGGGCAGAGGAAGCGCGCGTGCAGTGCCGAAAGCTGCATCAGACGAGCGTGAAGAAGGGAAAGTATGGAAAGCAATCTGTTGAACTCGCGGCGGTGCGTACTCTCTGCAGCTCCTTCCTATCCGTACGCTCACTCTTAGGCATTTCCAAGGTCTGCCGGAAAAGTACGTCGCGGAAATTGACAAGATCTTGGTGGACATGGAGAAGGCGTTGGGAGTCTCATGATGAAAGGAAGAGGTCCTCACACTACGCCTTTCGACCCTCCACAGCGACCGAGACGAATACTCAATCTCCTCAAGTAATAGCGCTATCTATGTATCTAATCGACTCATATGCAAACAAGGCTAACGCTCGAGGAGCTCAATAGGCATACGAACCTGCTAACCACGACTTTTCTCTCGTTGCCTTCCTACTCGTTTGTCAAACGTTCTCCAATTCTCTGAACGCATATCCAAGCCCGACTTAGTCAACGGAGAGTTGGGCGGAGACGAGTCTATGGAACTGGAGATACACGTTTATCATTGTCGCCGTCATTCTCGCTCCTTCATTTTTTTCTTCTCACTGATAGGTGCGGGTGCTGATGGTGTGGTCTCATTACCATGGATGGTACTTACACTCGTTGCCTCGTCCGATAATTTCATCACAACTAGGACGAGACTGACGAGAGTAGTCGGATAAGACTATTTTTCAACTTCGTACTTGCAACCATGTGCACTAACTTATATTTAGGCAGGACAGACGGAATCGGATTTCGTTGTGCCTCTCTACAAATGCGTATACTCACTTTCTGTGTTCCTTTCGGCTCGGAACTGGAAGGGATCTGTTAAGCTCCTTGCTCTCGCTGTTTCGTGAGAGTAACGATACTGCCGAGGGGACGTGAGCCATAGCACTGGGTTGTTCCCGTTCAACCTGGACCGTTTAAAGGCTCGCAGGGACATACCAGACTCTCGTATTCAGTCCAACGGCCCGCTATCCAAAACAACGGGCTATGTCCAAGTTCTCCCCCAAGTCCCTGGGTTGCCTTTCGTCCTTCCGTGCGCTGTTTAAAACGTCCAACATTCAACTTCGAATCTGGGATTATATGTGCATACTTCTTCCCCCATTCTCTTTTTTTCCTTTATCGACAGGTTTGAAATGGAAGTACCCTCTGATTCTGAACGCAGTGTACAGCCCTCCGCTCCGCATAATTTTCAGTGGGGTCCTGGAGTCCCCGGAAGAGCACTCAGCACAGCGTTCATTCGATACCGTCTGCTTTGAACAACTTTTGGTTGATACTATTGGCGGCACTAGAGAAGCAGTCTACAACTGCGTCTGATCACATTTAACGTATTGAATCTGTCGAGGTGTGAGGACATCAGAGAGCAAAACAAACGTAGAGGCTTACCATATGACATCGTTATGATCATGAAGAGGTCTGTCGAGAGGGTCATCGGGCCAGAAACCCGGAGGTACAGCCGTATCACCAGTGCTACGCCACAGCCCCCGCTCTAGTTCTAACTCCTTGTCATAACACTCGTTCTCAAATACACCAACCGCTTTCCAAAACGTAGCCAGAACTTCAGTGTCCAAATTCTGCATCTCCCTCGTCGTGTATTCCCAATACTCAGGAAACCATCCAGCAGCTTCCCAATCAATAATAGCAGCCAATCGGCCGTCCTCAGCGACGAGGATGTTAGTCTTGTTGAGGTCACAGTGCGAGAAGCACAGTTTATGCGGTTTGGCGTATACAGGTGACGCTAACTGGAGGAGACGAGGCATGCGGCTTACCCAAGACACATTTGCAAGTAACATGTCATGAAAAGCGTGGATATTCGTTAGCGGCTGCACGACGTAACGATCTCTGCAGCGTATGTGTACGAATGGTGAGCCGTAAGGGCCAGAAACCTCACTGGAAGGAGGAGCAGGAAGGAGCGAAGTTCAGTAACAGCCTGTTTCAGGTCGGCAATGAGCTGCGCACTATCTGAGAGATCGAGGACAGGTCTGTTGAAGGATTCCATAAGATCGGATAGCTCTCTGAGACTACGTCCGCTGCGGAGGTGGGGGGGGGACCAAAGATGAGGACCTTATAATGGTCAGACTCGAGAGGGTATGTAGTCTTTGCACGGAGCCACTGTGCCAGTGTTATGCCTTTGATTTCGGTCATGAGGATCAACCCATCCGGATATTTCGTTCCCGTTGGTATATCAGGAAGAACGTCAAGAATGCGGGGGACAGGAATAGTCGTATTTTCGCGGACGAACTTGATATTGTTCGCCTCGATCTCTGGGGGACGATCCTGAGTGTGTTTGAGAATCAGACCGAAAGGAAGATGCCATACACTCCATTCTCCAACACCATACCACTTTTCGAGACAGAGGTAAATGGAGGATCTTATGGATTTGGGAAAACATAGCCATAGATGCCAGGGAAGTACTTTCAGATAGGACGACAGAGTGGATAAAAATGAGCGACGAGGCCGCATGTTGTGTTGCGGTAAGGACCTTGAAATCGAACATTTTTCAGCTAAATTTAAAGCAAATGGGAAAATACTCTTAGTCTCTTACTGCACTCACATTGGCACTCCTTGTGGTTCGACTTCAATTGCGTGGTTGTTATGTCACGCGTCTCTGGCCCATTGGTGCTCATCGGGGCAGGGCAGGGCAGGCTCATCGAGCGGATCAACTGTCCCTTCTTGTACCGCGTGATTGAAAACATTATCGTGATATATCTGTGCAACATATCGTCGAACATTGGAACCACATCCACACTTGATATATTGGATGTAAATAAATGAAATTGGAAAGTCCGATCGACAAATGGCTCGTCGAAGGGACGGTTTCTACAGACAACATAGGCGGGTAACTCAAGACCAATCACCAGCATCCTGAACATCGGTCTTCTCTCTCGCCGCCTTCAATAAATCTTCGACTGTCCACGGTTCGTAGGTGTAGCCCAGAGGAGTGTTGGTGTTAGTAAAAGGTGTGCCCTCCGTTATGTGCTTCGCGCACGCAGCATAATTGTCGTATGCATACTTCTCTGAATCATGCCTCGCTAGCCAGTTACCGATGATCTTGCCGACTACCTGGGGGTTCTTCGAGACAGCATCCCAATCCGTGTGGTGCCAATTTTCACGCGTCTTGAATCCCATCCTTTGGGCGCAGGAGACGCGCTCGAACCTGAGTATAATGAGTCAATAACGACAATAAGAAATAACTTTGAACGAACCTTAGCTTGTTGTAAACTCTGGCAGCCAAAGGGATGTTGTCCTTTCCACTGATGTGGAGGCATGCAGCGAGAGTAAATCCGTCTTCCATAGCCATAGTCGCACCGCTGCCGCTAGTAGGAAGGAGACTATGCGCAGCATCTCCGATCTGGACAACTCGGCCCATCGGGGAGATCCACTTGGGTTGCGGATTACGCCACATGAGCTTCCAGTCAACGACTTCCTTGTTGGGCACCGCGTTAATCAGAGCTGGGACAAACGGACTCCAGTCTTTCACTTGTTTAAGCGCAGAGTCCGAACTCTGGGTCTTTGACCAGTCCTCGGTAGCGTTTCCATTGTCCTGGTATGGTATGCTATCAGAGAGGAACTAAGATAAATTTAAAGAGAGCACTTGCGAGGTAGGTCATCATCTAGCAAACGATGTTTTTGTTCTTCCCGGTTACTATGTGTGTATCGGGTCCTAAATAAGCCGCTCCATGGGAGCCTTCGCCTTCGTATACCTTCGCCAGCAGAGGGTCCTTCATTGCGTGCTCGAGTGGGAAGGTCGTTCGATAGATCGCGTAGCCGCTACTGATAGGCTGCTCCTTCTTCCCACTGACGATACCCCATGCCTTGCCTCCCACGCCGTCTGCAGCGATGACAAGATCCGCTTCAAGCTTGGTGCCATCTGCAAGGATAGCGCAGCCCTTATCGGTGGTCTCGGAGTAGTCTTCGACGCTGATTCCATGCTGGATGGAAATCCTGAGTGATGTCGCGTACTTGTGCAATGCACGATGGAGATCCAGACGACTGAGAACAACAGCACGATCGCCGGTACTTGGGTCGTAGTCACTCAAGCTAGGGAATACCCCAATGAGGGTCCCGTCAAACTTGTACATGTGGATATCGGGTCCAAATTCGTTTTCATAGAGCTGGTCCACGAATCCGGGCCACTTGCGCATAGTGCAGAGTGCGCTGGGCTGGATGGCGACTAAATCGCCTAGTAGAGCGTTTATGGGTTTCAAGGAGTTCCGTGTATTTGAGCCACATACCGAAGGGGTCAAGACCAGGTCGACGTTCGACGACACGGACATTGTGACCTTTGCGATAACATTCAATAGCAGCGGTCAAGCCAGCAAGGCCTCCACCTCCACGAAAGGTATCAGCTTTGCGAGAAAATGTCATTAAAGGATCTGAACCAACCGACGATGAGGATGTCTATGCCGGAGAGCGGTTCGCGAAGCATGTTTTCAGCCATGATGACAGGAGAGACAACCAGTATGTTGTTGGTTGAAGGTGATGCTGTTCATGAAGACGTACCACCAAGTTTTATACCGCGGAGTCATGCGTAGGACGGGAAAGAAAGACAGAGAAGATTGACTAGGCTGATTGCGAAACGTCGCTCGAATTGCGGCGTTCGAGCTTCGGATAGAGATGGGGCACAGTTAAAGAACTCTATATGGAACACGGTGTTGGAATTATTTTCCGAAAGGAGCATCATCAATGATACACTGCAAAAATACGTTAGTCGACGAGTACAGCCTGCCTTTCCAGCCAAGTTGGAGACAATCCAGTGGAAGCCGAAGCAAATCTGTATACTGATTGTGAGGCGGTTCCTTCATAAATGTCGATATGAAAGCAGGGAATGATACATCCGAGTCGGTCCTTGTTTTTGGAGCGCAAGCGACCTCTCGAAGCGACGTGCCAGTAGCATCGTAAGACGCATAACAAAACGGGGCTCTTCCCGGCGTTGCAAGTCCCGAAGTGTAAGCTTTCACGCATAACGCGTCCATCATAGGGTGCACGTTTAGCCACAACGCCGTCAGCTGACACAGAAGACGCTGATAACGCGTTAGTGACATGTATCCTGGATGTAGATTAGACGCTCATTCAGTATTTGAAAAGATGTGTATAACGCACGTAGGAGATAATGAGACAGAGGAACTGGAACGAATAATCGAGAATAACGATGCTGAACAACTTGAAGTCGGTTTGATGAATTCAGCATCGTTAACCAAGCGGACGGCTCGGCCGGCATCCTTCCAGGGTCATGGATTAAGAGGCTCTTATACTACTTAAACTTCCATTGCGTACTTGGTAGTGGTAGGTATCACTCAGAGTGATCTACGTGTGTGAGTTGTTATCCAAACCACTGAGAACACTCCCCTTCATACCTATCTCTCTATCACCTTGTTCGACAATTTTCTCAGTACCAAATCCACCCTCATTCCCAAACCAGGTCTTGCGCCCACAATGAGGTCCACGCATGAGAAGAATTAAAAGGCCTAACCCAGTCCAACCGAGCGATAACCCTGTACCTGCTCTCCATCCATACTCCAAAAACACGTGTGAACCCACATCTGCTCCCATGACTTGTCCAAGGAAGACTTGAAGATAAAGGCGATGAGAATAGTACAGGGATGACCAAGGTGGCTGCTCACCCATATAAGAGAGATAGCATTCAAACGTGTGGTAGCTGCTGCGGAGATGCTGTAGCAGGCGGTTCAGAATCCAGATATGTTACAGAATGTTCATAAAAGACAATGACCTGAAGATGGACATTTGAAGCGAGACTTGTAGCATCCGGCAAAATACGTCTATTCCTAGCGTAGCCAAAATCACCTTTTAAATCAAAATTCAGCTTGGATCCATGGCCAGTAGTAAGATAACCGACGGGAGCAATATGGATACCAGCCGCGCTGACCAAGAGCATCTGAAAGCACCCATAAAATATAGAGCCCAGAATCGAACCATGCCATGGATGCAGCTTGTCGAGTAGTCGACCTGCTGTTGCACCGTTATAAGACAAGAAAATCGCAGGCTTGAAGTAGAACAACTCACCGAATGGTGTCATGCATACCCCAAACATACCTATGACTTCCAAAAAGCCCAATCAGTAACCTGACAAGGATAGATTATTCGCTTTGATCCTCTGTGAGGGGTAAAAACTTACGTAGAATAGTTATATGGCGGACCGCCCAGCAAGAATATCAATGTGACCCAAAAGTTTGACAGACCTGCCGAGGAAAGTAAGTTAACGAAGTAGGCCTGTAGCGAACGATGAGCACCATACAAAAACCTCGAATTGATAAACGTACCTGAATCAACTGTGGCTCGCCAACAGAAAGCAATATCATAGATTTCATAAGACCCCAGTATCCCATATTCTCCGCATTTTTGGCTGAGTAATCTGGGACCATCGCGTAACATGCTGCCAGCACGACACTTTGAACGCCTACCGCAAAGTAATAGACCATCTGCCACTCGGTGAACTGAGCTATCACTCCGGCAACGACTCGTGACACTAGGATCCCCATGATCAGCCCAGAAACAATGACAGATACGACAAAGGTTCGCTGGGAGGATGGGGCTATATCCGCTGCGAGAGGAAGGAGGATTGGGGGCACAACATTTAGTGCACCAGCCAAGAAGGAGATGGCGAGAAATGCGTCCCAGTTACGGACGAGAGCCAGGCAGAGGGTAAGGACGATGGAGCAGACAGTGAGTCCGAGAAGGAGCTGCCGACGTCGGATGACATCTCCTAGCGGTGCGAGGAAGAAGAGACCTGTAGCGTATCTAGTTTGACATCAGCGGTGCTGTAATTGAAGTGGATAATTAGAAAACGCACCTGGCTTGGAGAAGGGTTGGAGCTCTGGATGAATGTGTCAGCAGTTTGCACCAGAAGATGACTTCTACGCACTTCGAGGAACCAAAATACGACACCCCGAAAGATTCAGAGTATTGGACTATGGCGGGTATTAGTACCCATAGCTCATTCCGAAGGACCAAACACACTTAATAATGGTAGGCAGTAGAACAAATTTGCTATCACTGATCCAATGATAAGCCTCAAATATGCAAAAAGCAATCTAGCCAGCAAACTTACTAAATGTGCATGCAAACGCGAAAAGAACATTAAGCCCAATACCGAACTGGAACGGCTTTGCTGGATTGTAACGGAGTCTTCGAGGGATAGGGATAAGGCCAAGATCCTTTGTTGGCGTTGAGCTCATCTCGAAAGTTGGGTGATAAGTAAAGAATCTCAGTATTTATGCAGCGATACTGTCGCTCCGGCCAATTGCTGAGAGGGCGCCATCAATCAGCTTTCCAAGCGGAGGGAGACAAAGATGAACTTCGATGGCCTAGAAACCCAGGGGTTCTTTTAGTAAACATTATTCGAGTTCTCGGTTTCATTAGCGTGTATCAACCGCGGGATATAATGCACCCCCACAGTTTGTTTTATCTGACTTGCTAGTTCAAAATAGGTCCAAGTTTACTTGTTAGCACTCACCGATATCGCACCCCAGTAGCCACCTGCACTCTTAAGGCTGATATGCGAGTACAGATATCGAGCCCTTCCGAGGACTTCTAAGTAAGAAGCTGGGCGTTGAGCATCAGCCGAACGTGTGAGGCAATGCTCATAAGGTGCTGACAAAGCGAACGAGAAGGGCTCAATCTAGCCTTCATCCTTGACTCTCCTCGTTCGCAGTCAGCACCTCATTCGCTTGAACGGAGTCATCCAAATCCCTTTATGACGTGTAAGCACTAATGAGTTTGGAGCACTATTGCAAAACATACCGAAATGAACAGTAACTGACATGGATCATCGGAGAGCCTTCAAGGGGCCTTCAAGTTGCCACGTCGACACAGGCGATGCTTCTAAGCACAGGACTGCAAACAGATAACGTATGTGATATGGGACGGGAGCGAGTCATTTGCATTGGGAATGATAACAGCACACGTAGCCCCTCGGAATCATTCTCAATCTGAGGCCTTTCTCATGCTTCGCTGTGGCGAAGCATTGGAGCTATCCAATCAAATCATCTAGCCAGTGCAGGATCCAGATAAGTCTCCCGGTTAGTAGACGCTTTAGCATCTCAGGTCTCAACCTCTACGTTGTGAGTTCTCGGATGTTCAATAGATCGCACGATGCTCAGGGCTCAGTGCAACAACCTGTACATATATTTTTAGAGCAGCAAAGAAATGTAAATCTAGAAGTAAAGGTAAGTATGGTGATTGACCGCCACGACTTCTTCCAAGTTCTGACCTTGGAGGTGAATGCTCAGAAGCATGCGCAGCAGTATTGACCCGGACTTCATTTTTTTCCTGGCGTTTTGTGCGCTTGGCGACGTCAGTTAGGCTAGTGGGTAGTTATCGCTAGCCTTGTCTTATGGAAGAGGTCAACTGAGCAGGAGGGATATCTGCTCTCGAGGCTACATTGGAGGGACGGAAAAGAAAAGACGAACGGCCGGTTGATCGGTCTGACATATAGCCGAGCCTTTGCCGATCTGCTTCTATGACAAGGGCCCGCGGCGGCGCCGGCGACAAAGACCTTGCTGGAGGGACACCTGTTTTCAATGCTTCAGTCATTTCCGAACTCGGTTCATTTCTTTACTAAGGCCACACTACAAAACTGTATAAATAACCTAGTAGTGTTTGGGAGAGCGAGAGCGGTGGGTAGAGTAAGATACAGTTTCACGAGACAAGCACTTCTATGTTCTAGTTGAGATTCCAACATCTAGCAGACCGGAAGTTAGGAGGGTCGCGACTACAACACTATGCAAGGTATTAACCGGAAAAAAAGAACAACAGAATTCGACGAGCACGGTAACTGGAAGGAGCTGGTTGAACCTGTTTAATGATTTCCGCCAAAGGATGTTGATGATAACATTTAGCTGGATCCATGTCATCTACACTTGCTACAAATATTTGAACACTTCGACGGAGACTGGATGGTTCAACATCGACCTTCATGTCGTGGAAGGTACAAAAGCTCCGTGCGTCGAGGAGGTCATAGCAAAACCCGCTGACCGGCAATGGACTAGTTCCGTTTTGTCTCCAGGTAGATCAGAGATGAAGATTGCTTCGTCTGGCAGGAGCCTTTAGATAAAGTGATAATTGAACATGGTTGGGGACGCACTACTGAACTGTTGAATGAACTTCAAAGTCATTCTCTGTATCCCAGCTCCTTAGGATTCACCGTGCCGGACAGATCCTGGTATTGCTACAGAATCTGAAAAGTTTGATGTCGCTGGTCTTGTCGCCTCCGCACGTCTTGAAGCTGCTTGATGAAATCTTCGGGTTCCATTGATTAGCCGAGAATCCGCTGTCAGAAGCTCACGGTTTGCTAGAGAGGTGACTGGCAGGAAAGATGAATTTGATATTGGCAGGTTTCGAATACCGAAAGGGAGGCTGATAGGTTGAAGAGGTGAGCAAACAGAGACAAATGTATATTTGCAATTGGCAGATTTCGAGAGTAAATATGGATGGGAAGTTTCGGGTCGGGTAGACCTTGCTTACCAGCAAGGTAATGATGATGATGATGAAGGTCTGGATTGGTGACCCGCAACACGCCTCGTAGTGGGCGAAGACGCGGGGGTACAGTACTCTATTGTTATGTATGACTGTACCGCTACTCGTTGTAATACTAATCTACTTGTCAACTCTATGGTATGTAAAACTTTCGGGTAAAATTCTATGTAGCTTCGTGTGTTTTAGGCGTCTATTCTTCGTTGCTCTGCTTCTATGAGATGTACAAGATCCCACTAGTACGTCAGGCCTGACTCTGCTTTATCGGTTACTCTGATCAAAATCATGTAATAGTAATAAGTAATACATTATCATAATGATTATCTTGATCGTCTTGACGTACGGGTTACAGTCGCTGATAGGTAAATGCATCAGCGTACAGGAGCTTGAAGCAAGGAATAAAATTAATGCCCGATCCCAACCCTCGAATCATATGGGTTCCTGACGACCAACAACGTATCCAGAAGCTCAAAATACCAACGAATTGTATGCGCCTCCATCTCGTCCACGCCCACCTTCCGACATGTCCTCTCAACCACATCCGGTGGGAGAACTTCCCCGTCTGCGAATTTGAACTGGAGCTGAATCCGATCCGAAAAATCCTTCACCAAAGGACATATAATCTTATGCGGCGCTTCACCTAGCTTCCAAGCCCGTTTTTGGCACTTTTCCGAGCAATAAGACACCCGCTTGCATCCACTGCAGTTTTGGAACTTCCTCCCTGTGCTCGTGAACGTCTCCAGACATCCTGGAGCATGACACCGGTCGCTCAGAGTAACCTGGCGGATGGCGGTATATGCCTTCCAGAAGTCGTTCTCCTTCTTGTGCTCTTCGTCTATGGCAAAAGAGCCTGAGAGGATGAGAGGATGAGAGGATGGTACTTGACTGGATCATGGGGAACACCGAGTGTGTCGTGTATGATGCACACCCTTGTGAGGAGCTCCTCGTAAAATGGGGTACCGGATGTAATGTTCACGACTCTGCTGAGTGCTTGGAGAAGGGCTTCCTTGTGATTCTTCCAATACGTCCTAACACGCACACCCTCTCCGTGGCAGATCATCTCGATAGTCGACATTTGGACAGTGCGCTCTACTTGCTGCAAGACCGAGAAATCGCGGTCAGCAAGAGAAGTAATTTTCTCCAGAGAATCGACGCTCTTGTTGATGACCTCGACGAGCTGGGGAGCGAAGGAAGGCATAATAAATACCGTGACGCTGAGAGTAGTACCGGCCATGGTGATGATGCCGTTCAGAAGCAAGAAGGACGGGACGAGCTCATACATGTAAGCCCACTGCCAGAGCATCTTGACAGTCGTTTCTGCACCAACAGCGGAATAAAACTCGTCCGGTGTGACTGGCCACATTGGCGTTTTCCCCTGCTTCTCCTCTCTGAGCGCGCGTTTGTGGATACCGTGGTGGAGAGTGGATTTTTTGGATTCCTTGGGATCGATGGCGTTAAAAGTGCAGTTCAAAAGCATCGTGGACATCATGCAGATGACTTCAGTGAAACGAAAACGGTCGAATGGACGTTTGAAATAGTCGGGGTGACAGTATTGGTGTAGGCGATTCACGAGTGGGTTATCTTTGGGGCAGGAACATGTTTGCATGGTGCTCTGGAGAGTACGGATCTCATCTGGTGTTCTTGGCGTCGTCAAGAACAACAAACATGTTTCTAGTAGATCGTGACGAGATGCTCGCAGATCTGCCATGGTGTGCAAGTTCCAGAAACTGATGAGAGAAGAGGTGTAGAACAAGACGCAGTGGGATGGATGGGAGGGATCAGAGAGAGACTGTACGAACAAGTCGACAATGGCGTCGAGCTTGTATGAGGTCCCATCCGGAAATCCGATTTCACGAGATGACATTGTGGTATTCGCTGTTTGACAATATCATCTGCCTCAGAATGCTCCAAAAAAGCAAGTTCATCCACCTAGAAGATATACGAAGCAGAGGAAGATACAAGGAGCGCGACAACGTGGTACGAGTGCAAAACAGGCCTGACAGCCAGCGAAACTCGAAGATCAGCGTTAGAATCATGTGAGCTTAAAAGCGATGCTGTTCATTTAAATTAGAGTTTAGATACTCCGTGCGGTAGAATTGTAACCCGTGATGGTTCTTGGAAGAGTATTTCAGTAGACATTTTGGTACCAGTACGTGCTTTATATCTGGAATGACAATCGCGGTAAGTGCTGCTGATGGTTACTAGAGCTGAAGTACAGTTGCAAGGCCAAAGAAATGATTGTGAGATATCGAGGTCACGGCAAGTGAACACCTTCATGATAGTAGATATAAGAAAGAGAGACATTGGTTATGCATAATGGGGGCCTACCAAAGAAGAAATGAGGTGCAGAGGTTTCTCGTGTCGAAGCTGATAATCGATCTCGAAGACGTAAAGGGTTGCCACGCGTTTCTGAAGTTCGTATTATACTCCTTTCCGAAGCAGCAAAGAGAAAAGATTTCGAACGCGTCCGAGTCATGCACTGCGGACGGGGAGTCCAATTACCCGGGCCAGCTTGGTTGCCATCATCTCCACACAAGCAATATCCCGCGTAGACTACTCAGGTCTCCCTGGCTGGGGTTTATAATGAAGCCAGAAACGTAGGTCCAAGTATTTAGTGTGTTCCTACCGAGCTTAAGTCGGCAACCAAAGCAACCATAGTAACCTCATTCTGGGTTGTAGACCGGGATTTATCGGCCATTCAGTCCGATAGCCGAGAAGCCCAATGGCAAGGCCTATGGGTATGGGGTTTCTGGAGGTGCTCTAAGTTCCCCAATGTCCCTCGTTCGAAAAATTGGCATGGCCACTCTGCTTGTCACAGCATCCGAGTTCAGGGATAAGAAGCTACAGAGGAACCCATTCACGAACAGATTGGCCTCCAAACATATACAGCCCCAAAACTACGAGATAAAATGGCAACGAATCTGTACAGTCATCGGCAACTGTCCCACAGTAGAGACGTGGTCCCAGGAGAGTAACTCGGGTTCGCGATGATCAAGAGGCTTGATCCTCCCCCAAGGGTGTCCAGGGTTATGCGACGCATGAGGGTCGACTTGGAAGTAGAGCTGCGCAAGAGTATTAGTGGGAACGTAGTCAGGACTGGAGACTGAATGGAACATTTACAAGGTCTCTGGATGAGCCAAAAGTTCGGACAAGAACGATAAACCAAACATATTGCGAAGAGTCTACGGTGGTCGTAACTGAAATATGGTCACATCTCAATCCACAGATTTCGTACACATAAGGTGAAAATCGCCTCACCAAGTTCCAGGTGGTTGCGAATATAAGGATGATGATCTCCGAACACGTCCGTAACTGTCTGTCGGTGCTCCGACAACCAGTCACCAAATTGGTCTCCTACAAGTTCCCGGCAAATGGCATGGCCAAGACCAAGATTGAGTGTACGTGGTAGGTTGTGTGCCAGAGGAATAGTATATACTCTGCTTCTGTGAGAGACGGGTAGACATTTATAATAAAGGAACACAAACGATCTTCCCTTCGTCCAAGCTCCAAGCTTGCGAAGGATGTCTGACTTTTTATATTCATAATCCCATGCCAGTGAGGGGGAATATTTGAGGTTTGTTGTGACTCTTATGTGACCGTCCTTGAGGAGAGAGGGGATCCGATTAATTCGTGGTTCCGTTGAAGACGCCGGATCGATGGCATTGAACAATACGATAAACTTCTTAGAGAATGGATGAATATATCCCACAGAGCCCAGAGGAATGCTCTGTTCAAACATGGGAATATACCGCTTGACGTAGTCAGGATATAAGCCCGGGCCAGCTGGATAATTAGAACTAGAATGCAAAAGATATACGATAACTTACGATCCGGCCCGTGAAGCAAAAACGGATGGAGCTCCCGTTCGCCAAACATGACGCGGGACTGGAATTCTGTCCCTAGGTCACACGCTGGGGTATCATACGTCGTCAAAACGAAAGAAGACACCCCGGGAATATCAAACTGTATGTATGTTGTCAGTGAAGCTAGACATTTCCATTCGGTGAGAGGGGTCATGAGTGGTTTCAATATCTGCGATGAGGCTCCCAGAATGCAAAGCTGACGGACTCGTCGGGAAAGGCTGGGCTGGTCACACTGACAATGAAGGGGACGTGGTAAAGTGATGAATACCCACCACCGATAGTGGTATACAATCGTCAGCCGGGTGATCTGTAGAGGAAGCCAGAAGCGGGGGATGTGGACCTGAGGATCGTCGAGATAGTATACGTAGATATGAATTCCATCTGGGGGCGTAACAGGACCATTAAATAGCCTTCGAAGGACCGATTCTATCCCCCTATTAGCTGTGATTGAGGGGCTGCATTTTGCATACTGAACATCATCTGGCTTGAGCATGTAGTCTACTTTGAACGTTATTGTGCGGCAAATTAGCGGGTGAGGCATTGATGACATTGATGGGATGGTATATAGATAACCTCCGCTATAGAATAAGGGAGTGACCAAGTGCGTGGAATTAATCTCCTTGATGATGGCGGACCATTGTTTGGATACAAGGGAGCAGGTTGAGAAAGTTTGAATGTATTCATTGGTGGAAGATTGAGTGGACCAGAGTTCGAAGAGAATATGGGAGATGAGCTCAGATGGAAGCGCCATGGGTTCGGGACGATGAAAACGACACCAGTTCGGGCATTTTGTCTGAGAGTCTGACTCCCGTGTGGCTTGCCATGTTTGGGCTGTGGGCCCGGTCGCTCCTTATTGGGACTTTGTGGCCGGTACCAACATCAACACCAACACCTAATACTCTTCTGTCCTGGGAGTCCAAAAGGGATCACGCTCATTGGTACACCTGATTAATATGAGCGATGCAAGTACGGGGTCGAAAACTAGCAGACTAGCTGACTACCGTATCCCGTTGTTATCCCTGTCATTGTACAGGATCGGGAAACCCCCAATGCTTTGTTCTCGGTGGTTATGGGAGGTCAAAAGAGAACGCATAGCCGGGTTTGCCACGCATTTTGAGCACGGTCAAGGATGAGGCGGGTAATCAGTCCGATAACCGAGGCACGACCTACACACCGTAATTTCTGTGTGTTTATGCGCGACGTCGTGATTAGTGCAGCAACAGAAGGAATTTTTGAGGGATTGGGTGTCACTGCGAGTTCGAGGGATGGTAAGGAACTGGAGGATGGTGTCAAAGAGGCCGTTGTGCGAGGTATGAAGTTTCTCGGTGGTGGGGATGATTGTTGACCGGTACAGGTGACAGAACAGTAAGTTGGACGATGCGGATTAGCGAGGGAGTTAATGATGAAGTTGGTAATAGAGTAGCGGGTATCGTTTTTGGAAGAATATTTCGGTAGTAAATTTTCTGCCAATGTGTCGTACGTTAGGTCCGGAACATCACAAGTGATAGATGGTGAGAGCTGAAGGAATTCAATACATCTGTGGCAAGGTTAAGGAAACCGTTATGAGAAATATCGGGGTCGCTACAAATGACGGTCTTTTTTCCGAGTCTGAAGCTCACGAAGCAGCAGGATTGTGCTTCCTGGAAACCTTTTGAGCACGTCATGCATTGCGGAAGGGGAGTTCGAATTACCATCTTGGTTGCCATCATCTCCGAAGCAGGCGATAATCCGTAAGCTCACGGTGACGGAAATTTCGTAGCTTCGATTACGGTTGCGAACGAGATGATCAGAACATACAGACAGGACGATGTCGGAAGGCATCGACCCAGACATTTCGAATAGACGGTAATTTGAATCCTACACGAGGTTTTCTTCTCCCAGACATTCGTTTCTCCTTGAACTAATGTAGGCATGAGTAACTGTCCATCTAATAATGAAAAAGACTTGCACTTTTTTCCACCATTCTCACCTAGTATACGAGCCTAATGAGAGCTCGGTAGTTTGGATAGCGAGCCGTTGAACTGATCTTACCTAACATATGAGAGAATCAGAATCCTTGCATCGTTACCACTCTAGGCGTGTTTAACACGGCTGATTTTTCAGCTCAATATCTTGGTTCAAGCCCTTTGGGCACACTTACTATCAAGCCAGAGGGAGAATGAAAAGTACCCCCTCATCCCTACCAAGCCCGAGTCAGTAACCAAAGCAAGGCGGAAAGTAGAACCCGTACCATAGTAAGATTTCAACACTAGGTCATCTCTGTGACATGAGTTTCAGCCTTGTAACAAATCTTGTGGTCGGTGAACCAAATAACGACGGTACACCAGGAAATTTATCGATCCGAAAAGTAATTTGGAAAGTGCATTGATATTAGGTTCTTTCTGTTCTAGGACTCAGAGGGATCACCTCGTATTTGGTGCACCTGGTTAGATATGAGGGAGCAAGTATGGGGAAGAAAACTCAGGTTTATTATCAGACAAGCTGACTACCATGTCCCGTTGTCATTCTTAGGATCTCCCTCTTTTATCGGTGAACCCCCAATGTCTTTTTCATGTCCACCAAGATTTTGTCAATCTCAGTGATGTACTTGTCCAACAAATCCTGAAACTGCCTGACAGTGAGCATACAGATAGGAAGGAGCTGCAGAGACTACGCACCACCTCGAGCTCAACAGACCGTTTTTCATATTTTCCCTTCTTCACGCTCGTCTGATGCAGCTTGCGACACTGCACGCGCGCCTCCTCTGCTTTCTTCCCTGCAGCAGCGACGACCAACAACTTGGCGTCCAGCGTCGGCTTGGGCACAGGGATCCTCAACGTCCGCGTATCTTGCCTCTGGGGCGTGATGGAAGGTATTTTGGCATCATATATCGCAGCCTCGACATGCTTGAGGTTCTACTACCTTGATTAGCCTAAATTGACGAAGAGCTGAGACACTCACGTCCTCATCGAATACAGTCACTACAAGCATACTCCCATCTCGAACACCGACCGTAGCGACCTCTTCCAGTTTCTGACCTTGGACACGTACATTGGCGAGTAGGGCAGGCGTCACTCGTCCAGAAGCCCGTGCAGAGGCGTCAGCACAGTCCCGTCTTAGCCAGTCGACAGCCGATTTCATTTTCTCCTGGCATTTATCGTGCTCAGCAATGTCGGTTGGGTTGGTAAGTGGTTGTTGGGAACCTGGTTTTAGAGAGGTCGTTGACTGGGCCTTTTTAGCGTAGGTTCTTCGTTGAGGGAAGGATATTCGTGTTATAAGTGGCCTTATAGAAGGCTTGGCTACCTGAATGACGAGGCGTCGGGACAAGAAAGATACGAGACCGCAAGAGAGTCTGCATTTTGGCAGTGTGAAAAGATTCTCCGGCTACTCGGGCCGATAACCGAGGCCTTTTCACCAACCACGATGGCACATGTCTTCCGAGCCTCTGTTCTGCTAGATCAATGAGACGTAGGCTTCAGCAGTGGCCGTCCCAGGATCGAGGCGATAGTATTCCATGAGCTCTTAAACGCTCGTATGACCCGCCGAACACTGAGACATGAAAGCAGCAGTGCGTTGAATTGGTTCATATCACGGATGAAGAATTGAAAGGTTTTTTTGCCAGTGTAGATTGGACACGAAATTGGTAATTTTTATCCAAGAGGTGCATAGGTTAGATATAACAGTGTGCTGTTGTTCAGGCAATTCTCTCGTCGTCCTACCGAGAAACAAGAACTCGTACGTCGCTACTTTCAGCGTAAGGGAGCCTAATTAATATTAATTCCAGTACACTTCCCGGGAAATTACTATTTGTCGCCCCCTCACGTCCGTACGAGTTTGAAAGGGCAAGGCATTAATGTTTAGGCCAGCTAGCGAAACGCGCCGACGAAGCATATGGTTTATGGTCACTAAGGACTCAGGACTCCTGAACAACGGCGACACTCGAGTTTGCTCCAATGGAGAGGGGGGGATAGTCACTAAATTACTAGAACGGAAATAATTAGCGTTTCTTTCGATGAAGTATTCCCTGGCAAATGAGGCGGAGAGATGGTAGACAGACCACCAGAATAGGACTCGGATATGCCACACGCATGTGATGGCCCTCAAACTCTGGTCTGGATTCTGTTCACACAACTGGGTGTTATGCTTTCCCGCATCGATACGGTGTCTCCAATTGACCTACATCTGCGACTACCAAACCAGTGAAGAGACAAAGTGATAAGGTGTCTATGGACGCAAAGACGCAGGTGACTGCAACCAACCTTCCAAGCATTTATTCTGGCCTGCTAGGGATGGGCCGAGGTCATATGCCTTGAACTTTGGACACAAGAGGGTCTCGGACAGTGGACTTAACGCAAATACACCGCCGCTAAGACCCTAGCAACTGTATAAGATCGACACAGGACTTGGAATGGCTACATAACTTGTATGCACAGGAATCGGGATGACTACATAAATACCAAGAACGCAGACTCACAGCTACCTATTGCTCTCAAGATGTGCAGTCCGGGCCCGACAAAGGATTTTGACCTCATCTCTATCCCTCAAAGACTTCGCTACGATCCAACACGACCATTCCCTGAGTTCGGGATTGGACTCAATCTGCTTTTGGCCTTTGCGTGTACTTTTAGTGCGCCTGCGGTGCGCTTTTCGTGCGAATACATCGCTCATTTCCGGTGTCTCAGTTGTAGCGAATCTATACTACTGTCAAACGTTACTATGTACGTCCGATATCTCGACAGCGCCCAGTGATATCCTGAAGCTAACTTTACTTTCTAGTTCAGTTCTCTGAGGAGTTCGGGGTCGTTTCTTCTGAATCTTCCAAGTAATTCATACCAATTCTTCTACTATCCTTGATAATCCGACATCTATTTCAGAGCCGTCACTCTCGTTCATGCTGGGTTCGTTCAGTTCTGATTTACCTCAATCCTACAGACGCTCACGTCATATTAGATATGCTGTAGGACTATTTTTTGTCGCGCCCTTGGGAGACCTCCTTCGCCGCCGGCAACTAATTCTCGGACTCATTTTCTGCTCCACGGCTCTAATGCTTTGTCTTTCTCTCGCCCCCAACTGGAATGCATTCCTTACACTCTCCTTCCTAGCCGGAACCGTCAATGTCGCAACCCAAATACTCATTCCTCTCGCGGCAGACGTTGTATATCCTTCTCGAAAGTATTTTTTCTTATCAATTCTCATCTCTGCGTTGGTCATGGGGATGCTTGTCGCGCGGGTTCTTGCAGGGGTGGTAGCCGAGTACGCCAACTGGCGAGTGGTGTATTACCTTGCAGGAGGTGTACAAGCCATCGTGCTGGTGGCATGCTATTCGACAATCCCTGACTACCCGGCAAAAAATAAAAAAATGCGTTACAGGGAATTGATGAGGTCCATGGTGGGCTTTGCAGTGGGAGAACCGCTATTAATTCAGGTACGATCGTTTGTCCAGGTCCGTGTTGTAAGCTTATGGTAACTGTAGGCATGCCTTGTCAACTTTCTCGCATCAGCAGGCTACTCGAATTTTTGGACCACACTGACGTTCTTACTGGATGGTCCCCCGTATAACTATTCCACGTAAGAGTCTTTCTTTCGGGCAACTATCTTCTTTCAAGTTGACGGCATTCCCCCCTTAGGCTGCTTATCGGGCTTTTCGGACTTGTAGGGATTGCTGGGGTGTGCTTGACACCGTTCGGTAAGTTTCATCTTGACACGAATTCGTGTATTTTGACCATACCGTCTAGCAACTTTGACAATTGAGAAGCTGCATCCGTGGTATGGATCGATCCTGAGCAACGTACTCTATGCTTGCTTTCAAGGCCTCTTGGTTGGCGCGGCCGGTCTCCACTTCGCTTCTGTGGGTGTCCTGTAAATCGCAGAGAGTCTATTCTGATTTTGTGGCATAAGATCCTGTTTGCTATCATAGGAATAACTGTGTTCTGCCGGGTGCTACAAGTCTCCCTTCAGATGTCCATATTTAGGTGACGATCGCCCACTCACCTGTATATCTATCTAAGTACTGATGATCCGGCAAAGCATTTCTAAGGCCGCTACGACCCGACTGAATGCTCTATTACTCTTGTCGGTGAGACTGAGTCATTATTGGTATCGTTCTTATCTGAAACGGCTCTAGTTCTTTCTTGGGCAGGTAATGGGTTCATCTGTAGGATCGCGCGTGTTTTTGGCGAGTGGGTGGAGAGCAGGAGCAGGGCTATCGCTAGGCTGGATGGGTGTTGGTCTTTTTCTGCTTCTCATTCGTGGACCTCATTGTGAGCGCAAAACTTGGTTTGGATACGAGGGTGGAATTGGTGTGAGAAGGGATGTCGAACAGAATGGTGAGGAGACAGACGAGAAGGACCCGGCCGAAGATGTGTAGCGGCGATTGAATGCTAGGTATATCGCCGGCGTTAGATCAACTGTTACCCAGAATTTATAGCTGTATAATCTACGATAAATAGTATTCCTTCTACTACGACGATGATCGAGGTTGCCAACTTTCCGGCATAGCTCGAAAATGAGGGTGAGGATCGAGGAAACGTAGGCTCCACTGAAGAATCTAGGTCCACCCATCCCCATAAGCATAACACTCTGCGAAAAAAATGAGCCTGCTTATAATCACGGCTACAACATTCATAGAAACCAAGCTCCGCGCGAATGGTTAGGCGTATGTGAGGGCAGCTGCTATTATTTCTATGGAGTCTATAGGGAAGGCATCAGAAGTTGTTCCCGACGCCGACAGACGAGTCACGAGTGAAAATTCGAGGAAGCATCTGAAAGACCACCGTCATTCCCTCGAGTAATCTGGAGACAGTGACACTTATTGCGGACGCTTCAATTCTCTGAGTTCATGGCCGAAAAGGTAGTGATACATGGGCGTAAGTCTAAGTCTAGTCGTGATATCATACCACGTTCAGAATTTTCCTCTAGGCGTTCCAAGAACAAGGTGTCGCACAACATACATCAGTATCACCGCGAGCAAGATGGTGCTACCTGTGTGTGATCTGTCAGCAAGACCTCAAATAATCAGTTTGGAGGGAAAATCATACCTGCATAATACCCCACGGCCTCAAACCCACCCGTAGCTGTGTTGATCGCTCCAGAGATCGGCGGACCTGCAAGCGCGCCGAGAGCTGCTATCGACATCGCCATTCCCGTCCGCCTCCCAAGATCACCAATCTCGCCTAGCTCGAAAATGGGAGTAAGGAACGAGGAGACATACGCTCCGCTAGAGAAGCTAGAGCCATCCATCCTTTATAAGCATAGCCTTGTGCAAAAAATGAGGAGCCTACCCATATATCACGGCTACAACAATCATAGAAGGCAAGGTCCGCGCGAACGGCCAAGCGTACGTGAGGGCGGCTGCTATGACTGTCATAGGTCCGAAGTAATTCACGGCACCTGCCAGCGAAAGGGTTAGAAGCTCTTCCAAATAGACTAAGAAGAAGTCAAGGGACCTATTCGATCGATAAAGATCCCTGCCACGATCCGTCCGATTCCCGAGCTGGCATTAGCAATAGAGACCATATAGAACGAGATATCGGACGATACACCATAGGCTGCGGCGCTAACGCTAATATAGGTCAAAACTGGGAGGCAGGAAGACGAGAATGAGCCAGGGCCAACAGAAGGACGGGGGTATTCACACCTGTATACAGTCCCAGGAAAGCGATGAAATTAGCAATACACCAAAGTGTATACGGTGCGCTCTTGAAGGCTTTCAGGTTGAGTATACCTCCAGACACATTCACAGGCGGAAGTCGGCGTTTCAGCGTCAAGTTGGCGATACCCAGAGTAAACATTAAGATGAAAGCGATGATCCGCATTGTCCATGGGAACCTAACAGAGAAACCCATTTAGACAACAAATTTGCGAGGGAAGGATGAAGACTTACCCTACGGCGTTTATGAGGTTACGAGCAGTTATTGGGATGACGGTACCACCGATTGACGAGCCAGTAGCCATTATACCGAGAGCGAGCCCCCGTCGTCGTCGGAACCAGTGTCCGATAATACCCATCGCCGGACCAAACACCGTCCCACATGCTAACTACACGTAGAAAAACACACTGAGAAAGTTTTTAAGAGCATTTAAAGGGAAGACGGGACGAACCCCGATGGCGAAGCCTTGGCAGAGCAGAAAATGCCAGTATTGTGTGCATTGGGCGACCAAAAATGTTGCAACGACAAGGAGGACGGTTGCTAGCAGAAACGGTAGTCTGAAGTAACCGATGTCGAACATCCGTCCAGTTATTAGACCCGGCATGAAGACGAGGGCGTACTACCACGGTATCAGTGTCAGCGCTCAGGAATGGAGTGAGATGGTACCTGAACGGAGCCAATCCATGCACTGAGTGAATGATAAAATGATACCAACTGAGTAACAATGGAGAGACTCACATCTTTGAAGAGTCTGAGTCTTTCAACAATGTTTCTTCGTAATATGCTTGGAACACCTGTCGCAATAAGTCATTGATATCTCTACAACGATTCGGAATGAATATACTTACCCCCCACGCGTTGACATACCCGAATCTGTTGTCGTACAAAAGTAAGTGAGACCATCATGAGCCAGTAGAATGAGTCACATTTAACGCTCACGTTGAAAAGGTAGTACACATCGTCTAAGAACCCATAAGCGGCCGTGATTAGTTGTGCAATCAGATTGTGAAAAAAAAACTGGGCTGACCCCTCCGACAACCAACCAAGCTCTCAATCCGCCATCGGGAAAGTCTCCCTCGAAGCCCGTGGGCGGTTTGACCAGGCCACTGTCCTCTTCTGCCTTGGGTTTCCCATGAGGAGCCTCGTCGATGGTCTTTTCGTCTATCGATCGTGTCCGAGTGCGGGGAATCTGCTCGGCCATAGTTGGAGAAAAAATCAAGGAGGAACAGCACGGTCCCTATATAATCTTCTGTCATTAATAATGCATGCGCAAGAAATTTGAGCCGGTACGTCACCTGCGAACGCTCGCAGATTTGTGAGTCAGCCTGCCAGATTTTCCTTTAAGCCTAGATCGAGGTTCTGTCATTGAACAAAGAACAAAAAATCGTGGTTGGCCCTTTTGCGGAGAAGGTGGGGAAATCAGAAGGGGACCCGACGGCAAAGAGTACCGGCGGGAATTTATCCGAGAATTTGAAAATTTGTCTCTGTTCGCCACCTCGTCTTTCTGGGAGGGTGGAGTGTACATCTGGATTCTGTGTCTTTTTCTGTGCACCTAGGATTTTAGGATACGTAGGACCTCAGTAACACCGAGTAAATAGTAACAGTTTGGCATCATTTGCAGGTTACAACGTACCGTTTCCCCACTCGTTGACTGCACTCTAGTATATGGCATCAGGCCTTTGTCATGCATATGGGCGGATAAGATATACTGTGTATACCCATTGTAAATCTGCCAACTTTCTCCAATATTTTCGCTGCATGAGGCCAATGTCATCAGGCAAGAGTTTTTGAAAATTCGCCCTTCGTACAGCCACCACGTGAATCCCAAAAGAGGATAACGGCAATTGAGCCTATGCGTGCCACGAGTCAGCTCGTCTCAACCATGTCTGCCACTTTCCACCACCATCCTGCGATTCTGCTCCGTCACTGCGCGCCCCAGCCCCAGCCAGCCCCTTCCAGGACTGCCACCTTCCTCCTCGATCACGATTCATGAAGCCAATCAAGTCAGACCGGTCCCAGTCCAGCGCGCCAACACGCGCTCTGCAACGTTCACACGCCGCCACCTCCCGCACCTCCATCACACCGTCAACCAGGGGGTGATCTTGTTCAACAGGAGTGATACTCCTTTGTTCACAGATAGTATATCTTAGCTAGGTTGAATAAATACTCTTACTTTTTACTACAAGTCCTGTTGTGCATGATTTAAATTTCCTGTAAATTGGTAAAAATTCATCCTAAATTCAGCATTGTTTGTAATTCCTACTAAGTCAAATTTTTGAACAATGAGTGGCTTGCACGCGTGGGGGACCGAATCCACGTGGATAACGGCTCAGCCGAACCAGCTCATTGCGTGACTTCCTTTTCAGGGCGTCACATCACGGTAACGAAGGGCGGATTTGATCGTACACAGCACGTGGCTCATATGTCAGGGCTGTGGACTACCGCTCTAGTTGATCGACTGTCATCAACCGAAGTGGGGACTGGCTCGAGTCTAGCTGTGGACCTGGCCGTTCCCTATTGGAACCCTGCACCAAACCACCCCCACCACTGTCCAACTAGACTAGAAAACGTTAGGCGCGGGAACTCCACTCGAATATGCATCTTGTGTACACTTATTATCACAAAGGTGATCTGGAATCTCTTCAAAGACCCGGACTACGACCTATGGCAAAGAAATGACGACATAGGAATTCGAAGAGAAAAGATACCCAGGAAACCTATGTAAATTTGCCTGCCTTTGTCCTCGTTTCAAAGAATGGCTGGCAAAACAATAGTACGTTGATATCGATATTCAGAACGATTGATTTCAACCTTTGAGCTAAGACATGCAATGCCCAACGATAAGGTAATGCGGGCAAGACAAACTGATGGTCTTGACGAACGAAGAGGGTTCTGACAACCAAACTTGGTGTAACAGCTTCGTGTACCTATGAAAGCGCCTTCTTGCTAGCGATTCGTTGGCTATATGTTCAACCCTAGGGCCTGTGTAGCGCGTCTACGTGTAGAGACCACCCTAGCCCGTCCGCTCCCATTTTGAGGTGCAGCAACGGGAACAGGCGTGATATGAAGGCCGCCAAAGAATGTAACAGGAACACCCTCTAGCCCCTCAAACCCGTGATTCCCAGATGCCAGGAGTAGAAGAAACTGCATGGCGTAGAAAACATCGGGGAAGTTGACAATCAACCCGTCTCTGGCATAGATATCAGTTGTTTAAGGGAGACAGAAAGGGCAGGAAAACATAGACGCACATTATCTTGTGTACCCAGGCTCCCGGCGACATTTCTCTCAGCAACCACACATTATGATTTGAAAGGGGTTCCCTGGTTTTCAAATACAGCACAGAAGTCATTCCTAGGTCTATCGCCGTGAGAAGACCATAGTGAGGAGCGGGACGTCCCAGCGTCATTGCTGTTCTTCAATTTCGTATGGATGCCCAGTTGTTCTGCATCTGAGCGAAATAGCTCCCGAAAGTCGTTTGCGTAGTCGGGGGACACAAATTGGATGCACTGTCCATCAGTAAATAAAGTCCCATTTTTGTCAAGAAGCACCATTCACAAAGGAATTGTTCAAGGTAAAGGTGCCATACGCTTTAGCGGGTGATCCTAGCTTCCGCAAGACCTTCCGTATTGCTGGCATGACCGATGCCATGTCCTGAACGTCACTTAGGACAACAGTGCTGGGGCGATTCTGTCCACGTGTTGCAGTATACCATTCCGGAAGCCAGTAAGTCGACGAATCTCGGACGTAAGCACTCGAAGTACTACCACGCTCAAAGCCTGGCAAACCATTCCGGAGCCCTCCAAAAGCCTACCGCAACGTTCAGATTCACAAAACGAACTCTACGGAAAGAATACGTGCCTTGATTGAGGATTCTATATTCAAATACCGGAATACGAATCCATGGAATGGCCCCCCGATACGTGTTTTCTCCACAAACTGCACAGACTCTATTTCTCCATAGACCGACAGAGCTTCCCTGCATGATTCTTCCGTCGGTGGATCCTTGTTCCGTCGGTGATAGACGTCATAGCACACGTTCACTGCTCGAGAGGCATTGTGCAATCCCAAATGTGCAACCGTAGTAGCAAGAAGCGGAGGAGACATAAATGAATCCATTTCGCAGGTCATCCCGTATCTCGGCCTCATCTGCAGCTCTTTAATACATCGCGAGGCAGCGCGTGTATTAAAGAACTGGAGAAAAATGCAGTTGTTCTCGGTTGTTACCCGCTCAATGGGACCGAATTTAAGTTCGTCGAGGAACTTGGTGACAGAGCAATTCGTAGGGACCCCACGAAAACAGACAGTACGAAAACGAGGGCTATAATCGATTTCAAGCTGTTCTTTTATGTTTTCTGGAGGAGTTCCGAGCATATAGTCCTGCCATGAGTGCAACTGCATTGACAAAAATGCCGTGTTAGCATTTGACATTAGTACAGAAACTGAGATTTGGGTACTGTGGATTGGACCTCGAGAGGAGCTTGACCTTGATGTGTCAACGTACGCGTCAAAACATTCTGGCAAAAGGAACGAGCAAGAACCCGGCTCTGGTGTCGCACTGAGGAAGTTGTCAACATTGTCGCGGTCCGGCGTTTCCGTTAAGAAAATTATTCCCGCTACCTTGGTAGTGGGTCTCTGGAAAACGCTAAAGACACCAAATTTTGCGGTAGATTCGCAAGATCTAATTGATTCACCTGCCTCCTAAATCAGCTGATCAAAAGGTGGAGCGTTGCTATTGTCACGTTCACTGTTCGTTCTCTTGTTTCTGACTCGCATGTCTCGCTGTTCTAATGGTGGAAAACTTTCCATCACTGACCACTTACCAGCTCCTCGCTCGTGACGCTGCCAAGTACATGTATGTTTAATGGAATTCCTTCCTCCGTCACCATTTCTCTCGAACATGCTCGCTCAACTTGCAAAACGACGACGGGTGTTTCCACTATATCGCTGGTGACATCTCGGGGTTCTTACGAGGCAAGGGTTAGTTTAGTCAAAATTGCAGACGGTTCATTCGACGTCTGGGTTTGGATTTGTTTATAGCATTATTGAAGGGTGATCCTGATGGTGGTGAGTGTGTTTGTCTTTCCAAGCTTCTTTGTAACGCCTTCTCGACCCAGGGTCAGCACCATTCCAGTTAGAAAGCCTTCGTTCAGCGTATAGGCTTTTTTGCCTTCCGGAATCTCCATGCTTTTTCACCCGACTCCCGTTCGACTCCCTCTTGTACGAACTGGCAGCCCACGGCATACTACACAAGACTTCATGTGGACAAGACCACCTTTACCTGAACTTGCTCGTTGAGCATTTTCTGTCCGGCATGTGTTCGTCGCTCAATGGACCTTCATGTCGGTCGTACGTTCAGGCACGTCATACTGGCCGTGTTCGGGCGCCTGCATTCTTTCTGTCCGTTTTGCGGTACACCAATCTGTTGACCGTTTTGCCTTCGTCCACGCTATTACCTTTTTGGCGCTTCTTGGCACCGTCCACGCGCGAGAACAAACGGGAACGCGCAATCGACGGTTTGGCACAGCAGTTGATGCTTGTTCGTTATCTTTCGTACAAGGGACCAGTCACCTACATGGCGGCCGTTTTTGATAGTCACTTTGAGACGTTGCCTAGGAAGGGTCTTCTTAGAATGGCGGATGCGCACGGTCTCTCAGCACGTAGTGCCCATTTGACGCTTGATGATTTGAGGGATACCCTCAGCGACCACATTTTTGGTGGCGGTTGCGCCGCATGGCTATCTCATTCTATCGCTAACATACCTGTGGGCTGTTTGGACTGTTTACAGGAGTTTGTTTTTTCTGATAAGGTTAGGAGTCGAAACAGGTGGTCATCATCATCATCATCATCATTACACGGCACGAGTTCTGGTTCGGACCTTGCAGTTGTCGTAGTTAACAATACGAATGGTACACGTCGATCTTTCGGTGCAAGCCTCTATATATTCGCACGCGTCTTCAAGTGAATGTCCTGCTCTCTCTCTCTCTTTGTACGCTATGTTGAATGTCGTTTCTTCGGAGGGTGGACCTGTCCATTCTTGCTTCACCCAGCATGATTCGTCTTTTGTGTCCACGAGTTGGCTACGTCAGCGTGGTTTGCTTGATAACGTGCAGCACAATCTGCTATTGCAGTGATAGTATTGGCCCTGCGGGATCGTTCGTCTTTCTAATGCCCTTCGAGCCTGTCGAACTCTCTTCTTTCGATGTATCTCTCGGCAGGGATGTGTTCACTTATTACAATGAGGTACTTGCTTCTACGGGTGTGACTATTGGTACGTGTATATTGTTGATTTTTGTTCAACTTAGGACTAACCAGCATTTATTAGATTCGGAACAACGTGCTGACGATATGGACGTGGATGTTACATCACCTTTTATTAGCCCGAATGATGACCCCGGCGAGGTGATGGACATATTCCAGATACTTGGTGAGGGTTTTTCCCGTTGCCTTTGTATTTACTCATTCGTGCTTCTTAGACCGTGACTACCCTGTAGGCGACACATCTATTACTTGTCGTTCTGAAGATGCCCTTGCTTCGGGTGAAGGCATTCCACCAAGTCCTCTTGCTTCGGGCGGGGGCCATTGCTTCTCTACGGAGAACGATGATTTAGCCACGGGCTTTGAATTATCGTCGTCGTCTGGACGAGGAACAGCGTTCGCTGTGTCTGTAATCCACGGGATGTTGTTCGGCCGAGCACTTACAGGATCGAGAAGTCTGATATTCACTTCTGATCGTGGATCCCTTATTTACAGTGCTGGTTTGCATGGTTTATCGCTGTCGCAGGATCGTACTATTGTTGAATGCCAATATGCATTACTTGCCCATGTGTTGATGGGTCAGTGCTATGATCGTCGATCCATTGAGGTCATCAATTGGTAACCTCCCCATTGAAAAATTCCGACATTTCTATACCCTCTAAGCGCGCGCTCCAACTTTGGACACTCCACACCGCATGTCTTGTCAGATCTCTCGCCATTGGCAATAAACCGAAGACCTTGCTTGTCAACTGCTTCTAGTCGAAGTTCGCTCAAAACGATGGGAACGGAGTCAAAACTATGGGGTAGACCGCCAAAAGAGTTGACCGAAATACGATCCACCGTCAGCGTAGGATACAAGCAATATATATGACTGCTCGTAATGATGTTCATCTGACTGGTGAGAGGCGACGATAGAACAGGCAAGAAGACGGAATCGTGCGCTGATTCTATAACGATGATTTTCTTTATCTGTTCATGGTTATGAGCATCAGTCGGTATGACTATTAAAATTGAAATCGCACTTCTTTAGTTTCGTCGTGGTACCAAATGCCTGCTTGCGGCACATTGTTTTGTAGACGACTAAATCTGTCATCTTCACTCGCAATGAAGTGATGCATGGCAAAAAAATCCTCCCACAATGTAAATCCGTACAAAGGCGTTACGATGTTAACGTCCGCAGTCTCCCAGGTGCAATGAGGAGTTAAAGTCTTGAAGGCAGTTGATCCTATAATAGCAGATTCGGTACGATCCAAGAGAACGAAGAATTGAAGTAAAAGATAATCTGGAATACATGGCGACAATGCATGGACAAGACGAGTCGATAATATAGACCGCACTAGACGCCTGAACTGCCGATTCCCATGGGACGCCGCTACAAGAGACGCTATATCGCAGTGCTGAAGAACTTCTAGCACCATCTCTTCCACTTGTGAAAATTGAATTGTAACAGGCGACGAATAACGCATGGCAGGTGCGGATGGCAGGACGAAGTCAAGCAAAGAACCATAGTGCACGGGTTATTGAATAAATGAAGAAATGTCTCGGTAGACAAAGCAACTAGGTAGTATCAGCACGAACCGGAGATTGTCGGCGTAGCGAGCGGCCCAGCCCTATGACTAAGCTCAAAATGTAAGGTAGCGGGCTTTGCCGCGCGCGGCCCTATTCGTTATCTGCTTACGTACGTCGCTACTAATCCTGAACACTCATGTCGCTTTGATGTCGCTGAACAAATGTCACTACATCATTATGCTGCGTGAGATGCATTCAAAATTCCGCGTAGTTGAAAGAATCATAACAATTTGATGCAGGATAGACTAAATAAATAGTTATCTGCAGTCGTCGCCATGACCTGTCTAGGAGATAGCTCATACAAGCTCATACATCCCTCTCCGCATCCCCTCAGACTGAAACTTATCACGGTCGACACGACAACAAGGTAACATAATTACTAAGTATCTGCGAATACACCAGATTGATGCATTTTTGATAACTGTTCAGTCTCAGAAATGCCCTCTTTTACTACTGGACGTAAGGAAGCTGGAGAGAAACAAAGGAAATGGCTGCATCTTGGTGGAACCAGTCACGATTTCATTTGTCGTAGATATATCCTGATTCTGTATTAGCATCGTGACGAGAAAACACTCACCTTTCAGCCACCCGCCTCGCCCGTTCGCTCGGAAACGCTTTCCGAGGATGCGCTTGTCTTGTCGATCGGAGATGAATAAAATCGAGTGGTTCTGCTTCATCTGGTTCAGACCCTGCAGAGATCCGCGGGAAGAATTTCCATCTCCATGTCATAAGACGACCCGCCCATCCCGCAAGATACCACCCAAAAGTCCGTAAAACCACCCGCTCAAAGAAGGGAGGATAGAACCTGCAGAACCCCAATCAATCAGCCACCGTGACAGCTGTTCTCGTTCATCAACAATCATGTTTCGCGTGTGCAGATCCATATGAGAGAACATAAACGTAGAGTGGTTTGACTTCAAAGCGAAGTTGAGGTTTTGTTGGTGGCAAACGAAGAAGCCACCAGTTCATGTACTCTTTCAAGTTTTCTGGAGATGCATGCAGCTCTGGGCCATACGAGTCCAAGTCAGCCCGAGACGAGTCTGCCAGCAGCTGGAGAGGTACGCTGACGCATAGCTTTGATGAATCGCTTTAATTGCCACGCAGGCTTGAGGGTCGACCACCAGCCAAGAGTCAGCCAAGCATCTTCAAGTGTGTGTCCCCTCACTCGGCTCATGATGAGGAACTGCCCACCGGTACCATTGGCACCCGTCTCTGAGACGATGAATTCCAACCGATTCGGCCAGTCTCATCGCGGACACTTCGTCCGCAGGTACACGGGAGCGACAAGGTGATGCACATTTGGCGACGAATGAGGAAGAGAGTATACTGACGCTACTCCAGTGGAATATGTCATCGATAGGGACAGGTGATGATCGCACGATGAAATGGTTCGACTCTTTATCACTGTAAACAAGTAGATGCCTTTCTTCTAACTGGAAATGCAATTGTAATTGAGTATTGTGTTAAAACGCCCAAGCATGCCTTCGTCCTAGCCCTTAGATGTTACATGTACAGAAATTTCCCGTCGTGCTGAACGTTAACGTTGTGTTGGAGCGGCAATCGGTTTACCGACCCGATGTGCCGATTTGTCCATCCTAACTGAAATCTTTGACAGTGGTTATACCACTCTGGATAAGACTATTTCCCTGATCTCATAGGTGATACAGGTCTAATTCTAGCGGCCTAATATTTACTGGTGTGCACGCAATGGGTGGATCATTGAAGTGCTGCTAAACATTCTCAGTAGAGTCCTTCTCACTCGTCGCCTCGTCCTTCGGTTCAGCGTCTTTTCTCAAACTAAATCCACCCTCGTATCCAAACCATGTTCTTCGCTCACAATGCGGTCCACGAATGAGAAGCAGAAAAAAACCGATACCCGTCCAGCCCAGCGATAGCCCCGCTCCTGCTCTCCACCCACTCTCCAGAAATACGCGAGAACCCACGGACGAGCCCATTACCTGCCCGAGGAAGAACTAAAAGCATTTCAGATAGAAACGACAGCAATGATGACCTCCTCTCACCGACAAGAGTAGCAGAGCATTCAGTCGGGTTGTAGCTGCCGTGGAAATGCTTCACTCGATTATCAGTCGCTAGAAGTATACAAGCGAGCGGGAGAGCCTCACCTGAATACAGACATTTGAAGGGAGACTTGGAGTACTCGGCAGAATACAACTATTCCTATGATAGCAAGAAGGATCTATCTCAAAGAAGTAAGATTCAGCTCGCTGCAAGTAGAGTCAACTGAGTAAAGCTACCCACAGAAGCAAAATGGAGACCGGCCGCAGCTACCAAGAGGCATTGGAAGCAAGCATAAAGTACGGTACCCAGAACTGATCCGTACCACGGATGTAATTTGTCGATCGTCAAAGTTGCTAGACAGCATGATGATAAAAAAACAAAGGCAAGTCGAGCTTGAACTTACCCAGTGGCGTCAAGCATACACCAGCGATCCCTACAAGTCCGAAAAGCCCGATGACCAACCTGGAGAAAATGCCATTAAAGCAATTTTACCGCTGGGTGAAAGTAGCCTACGTAGAATAGTTATACGGAGGGCCCCCCAGCAAGAATGTCAACGTGGTCCAAAAATTCGAGTAGCCAGCTGATGCGAGAAAGTTGACAAGGCACGCCTATTTAACCATAAGTCAACAACCACAGATCGCGAACAAATGATCGCACCTGAATCAGCAGTGGCTCTCCCACTACAAAGCCTAGCATCGACTTTATCAGTTCCCAATACCTCATGCCTTTATTCTTGGCCGGGTAGTCCGGGATCGTCGCATAGCACACCACCAACACGATGACCTGCACGCCTACCGCAAGGTAATACACCACTCGCCAGTCGGCATACTCGGCTATCACCCCCCGCAAGAACTCGCGCAACAAGCATCCCCATGACCAAAGCTGAAATAAGAATTGATAAGAAAAAGAATTTTCGGGAGGGAGATACGACATCCGCTGCGAGAGGGATGAGTATCTGGGTTGCGATGTTGATTGTTCCTGCCAGGAAGGAGAGTGCGAGGAAAGCGTTCCAGTCGGGTACGAGAGCAAGGCAGAGCATCAGAGTTGTGGAGCAGAAAACAAGTCCAAGTATTAGTTGGCGGCGGCGGAGGAGGTCCCCCAAGGGTGCGATAAAGAATAGTCCTACGGCATATCTAATATGATGTGAGCGTCGGTGGGATTGAGGTAAATCAAAACTAAACAAACCCAGCATGAACGAGAGTGACGGCTCTGAAATAGACCGTCAGGTTAGCAATGATAGAAAAAAGTGATATGACATCAATATGACATACCTGGAAGAATCAGAATATGGGACTCCGAACTCTTCTGAGAACTGGACTGGAAAATAAGATAAGCTCCACGATCTTATTAATGTCGAGTCCCAGACGCACATAACAATGTTTGACAGTAGTACAGATTCGCTACAACTGTGACACTGAAAATGAGGAACATATTCACACCAACGATGCATGACAGACGCACTGAAAGTGCAAGCAAATGCGAAAAGCAAAATGAGTCCGATACCCAACTCAGGGAACGGTCGTTTTGGATCGTAACGGAGTCTTTGAGGGATAAGAATGAAGTCGAAATCCTTCGTCGGGCCTGGAGTACTCATCTTCAATGTAATAGTGAATTGCGAACCTACATCCTCGGTATTTATGCAGCAACCTCCTCTCGTACCTCAAAGATTGAGAAAGGGAAAGTCCGCTGCAATTACGAGCCCGAGCGCCAAGTATTGCCTTGGCATGCAGCGTGCTTCTCGTATATCCACCGCAGAAGGAAAGCGAATGCATAATAGTCGTGTAGCGCGGAGTCTCATTCGATATTCGTCGACCCAAGAAAAAAGCCAGATTGGATAACAGACACCAATATCTGCGATTCGGACCTTTTGTACAGTGTTATTCTGGATCCCGTTCACAACCTACCGTGGTGCAGGAGGATGTGCTGTCAAACATCCAAGTCTGAGATGACGTAGAGGCCAGCAGGTACGTCTGGTATATGTACGTGTACTTACATGAACTCTTGGCGTGCAACGGCGAGGATAGACCTAGGAACTGATCTTCAGTTCCCGTTCCAGGCCATGAAGAAATATCTCCGACACCTTGCTGTGAACGTTGCGTAGTTTGTTTGTATACCTGCAGAGTCTATAAGGTTTGAGTCGTCAAGCGACTGGATACCAAAGAAACGACATACTGACCTCGCTGGTAGTGCAAGAAGTATGACGTCGGTGAGAGTAACGTTGACATTCATACGATACGTACAGTATCGAATTCTCCACGATGGACGGGCCCGGTGCCTGCTTCTGAGGTGCCGTGTGGCACCAATATCGCGAAGCGCAGACCTCCGGGACATGTACACACCGTATCCATGAACGAAGCTTCGATAGGATCCAACCTGAAGATCACCGGTGTCTGCTTTGACGACTATGTGACAACCCGGAACAATTGCCCACTCCGTAGTCTCAGTCGCTCAGCAAGAGTATAGCAACGGCTGCAACCTATCCCGGAGTAGCTGACCTCAAGAATCGATGATACTCATTGTCATATAGGGATATAATGAGTTGATGAGATAGACAGCATGAATCGATTCCGAGGTACTGGATATGTGTGTATAAACATTTTGGAACCTTCGAACGGCTGTTACTAATGAATGATCCCAAAGTGCTGATATTTAACGTAGATGTGGTCATTCGGAGTTGATGTAACCATGAACTTCAGCGACTAGATCGACGCAACGGACAGATACGGTGGCTGGGTGCACCATAAAGAACCATGACCACTCGGCAACGTGAAGAAATACCATATCGATCCCAGTCTGAATAGCGACGTCAGCACTGTTCCCTATGACGACATGTTCCGTGGGCGTACCTGCGCTGCTCCATATACTTACCATTACGTTCAATTTAGCCACGAATATCTTCAGGCAACCGAAGTGCCGTGCAAAGATATTTTCATAACGTCATTCTCGCGCAAAGACGGCAAGTTTTCCAACGTCAGAGACAGCATCGCACACTTTATCTCTTCAGTAACTTGGTAGTCGCAGATGTAAGTCAATTGGAGGCACCAAAATGTCTCGATAAGGGAAAGCATCGAACCCAAATGTGCGAACAGAACCCAGATCTCGTCTTCGTCAGCAAAGTCGTCGAAGGTTTTCACGGACATGTCGATACGGAGGTTTTCTAGGTATCTGAGCTGAGGGCTGTCGGGGAAGGCATTAAGGAACCACTGCATTGCAGAGATATCTGTCCCTCCCTCAAGAGCGCGATAATTAATATCAAAGGAGAGGGATTTCAGGCGAAGGGGCAGGAAGAGCGGTTTGACATCGAACCACTGTGTTACTGGAATGAAACCAGCTTAGAACCAATTAGACATTGATGCAAATGAGCACGTACAGAGACAATTGGAGGTTCCGAGCACGTGCAGTGACTTTAGCGTGCGGAATTGACTAGCGGCACGGATGATGTCGCAGCATAGGGAAAGGTCTTTCCCTCGGAGATTGTACATGTTGATATAAAATTCTTGAAGAGACTCGAGGAACACGTCTCGGTAGCGAAAGACAAATGGAAGGAAATCAGACAACCCCGAGTGAAGGTGATGTATGTGAAGTTTTTCAAGGCACGGTTTATTTACAATGATTGAACTGGATGGAAGATCCGAAGTATCTTCGACATCAAAAATGCTTGACTCGAGGATGAGAGATTTGAGGAGAGGGAGGCCGAAGATAATCGTGCGGAAGCACTTAAGGGACGTGGAGGTATTCTTTATACTGAGAGATGTAAGATTGGCCATTAAGAAAAGGGGAAGTTGGACTTGACGAAGTGTGCTGGGATCATACGAAGAGTGAATTTCAGCTGAGTTGAAATGTATAAAGATATGTGGAGAAGTGCGAGCTAGGACTCTGAGGCGGTGCATGGAGTCTCCGAGGATGTCAGAGATTCTTATGAACTGGAAAAGATAGTGACGGGTACGAGGGTAGAAACTGCGCAAGACGAGGGAGCAGACTTTCAGCATTTGCTTGTCGCTGCGAAGATGATCCAGAATTTCTTCGATAATTTCGATTGGTATATCTGGCATTTTGACCTAATTTTCGAGCTATTAGTGAGGATAACGGCTTGTTCAGAAAAGATAACGAACGGAAAGATCGAGTTCAACACTTTGCATTTCTTTAGTTGTAGCCACTAGCAAGTGTCGTAAATATCAGAAGCTTCAGATTCCTGCTACGTTAGTAGTAGGTCTTATAGAGGGATGGTGGTAGCCGAGTTTTGAGTTTAACCCGAAGTCCGATGTCATAAAAATTTCTACTTGTGGAAGAAATTCACGGCCCAGCGCTTCAAAATTTCCGTTTAAGTCAGAATTTCGGGGTGGCACAGTCGCTGCTTGTTACTGTTTACATGTGACCCTCTGTTACTATCACGCTTTCTGCGGCGTTGTTCGGCCGGCCTCTGCTTTTTCTCGCGAGAAATAAAGTAGCGTGACACGGGGCTTGCCTTCGCAAGCCCCCATTACATTGCGGGACGTGATAGGCTAAGATACATTTGTACAGTACTTGTAAAATACTGAAAATCTCAGGGAGTGGTGGGAGGGTGACAAAAAAGAGTTGATTAAATGGCTTGTAAGTTAATAAATAGGTGATGCCTTTGGAACCTGGTATCAGTGGCGCTGAATGAGCATGACAATGAGGGAGCGAGCGAAGCGAAGCTCACCTTGGATTGTGGGGCGAAGGTTGGGTGCGAATGAGACAATTGCTCCAATGTCTCTCAGATATTCGACCTCTGCTAGAAATCTAGCACTGAAAACTGAGACGGAACAAGTTGCCCACTCTCCCAAATGAAGCGGCACTTCTAGGCAGAGCCTGCAATGATGTGGCGATGCCAGTTAGACTCGATGAGCTTGCAGAGGCCTATGAAAATGCTCCTTACCCTTGGAACCCGCCTTTACAACAACCTCTGCTTTTTCTCGCAAGAAATAAAGTAGTGTAACATGGGGCTTGCCTTCGCAAGCCCCCATTACATTGTGGGACATGATAGGCTAAGAGAAGATGGCTGATGATGATGTGTGTGGGGGGAGGTGGAGGTTCAAAGATGATGAACGGACCACAAGAGTCAATGAGGAAGAGAGGTTTGGGTATATTGTAATGTGGCCAGTTGTAACTCAGCACGAATAGCAGGATGTTCTTGCACATACAGGGTCCAGGCCTTTGATGACCAATGGCCCAGAGCCTGGATGATTGATTCTGAAAGGCTGAGTGATGCATAGAAAGTGGCACCACCTGCTCATAGTGAATGACCACTGAAATCCCTTCCAAGGATAGCAAAGAATTTCTTGTTGAACCAAGTATGGGTTGGGACAGAGCCATCCTCGCAGAGGAAAAGTGGGGATCATGGACCATGATGATGATCTCGAAGGGTGGTGTAGTCATGAAGGAGTTGGAACAGGGTCAGCAATGTCTTGGCATGTGAATAGTACATCGGAGCCATGATAGAAAGGATCTGATTTGTGGTAAGGGAGATGATATTGTACACAGCCTTCAGAGAAGACAAGTGATGAATGCTTGATCAGTTTGCAATAGTCTTGGAGCTGCTTGTCATTTTTCCAAACAAGCTCTCCAGTTCAGTGGCAGCCATAAAAGCCACAGGAAAGTAAAGTGATGAAGAGAAGATCATCATACGATCCAGACATTCGTGCTAATAGGTTAAAAGTAGCGAGATGGGACTGGCATAGAGGGAGCTTTCTCCGGATTGGATCAGCACAGATCTTTTTGGATCCTCATATGGTCGCTTGGACAAGGGGAGAGTATCAGTTGGCATCAAAGTGCAGATAAAGGTTATGAAGGAAGTGTTGGACTCCTGAGAGATATTTTGGCCCAGAAGCAATGAATTGTGATGTGTATGCGATGTAACGGCTAAGGGTCAATGGTGTTGGATCGAGGGAAAGATGGTGTGTGATACAAAAGTGTGTGTAGTCTCTTGCACCTGTAGAATATCCCTTGACCGTAGATAATTTGAGAGCATGGAGCTGGAGGAACAATGCACATTCATCAATAAATGATAAAGAATGTGCAGGGTGAGCTGTGCAAGGAGCATGCTCACCCAAAGTACTTAAAAGGACTCTCTCCATCGTGCCGGCAGGAGCTCTCTCGGTGGAGCAAAGACGTGGATGTGGTCTGCAGGAAATTTCTGATGATACTCATCAAGGAGGAGATGTGAAAGAAGATCAGCATGAATGTTGTTTCTTCCCTCAATGTGCCGGACCTGAATATCCATACCTGATTTCAATATCAGTGATGCTACAGCCTGGAGGGGTGTGTTGTGCATCGGTTATGCTACAGCTAAGGAGTTAAATGCCGCAACGGAGTCGAGGCTGTCAGTGAAAAGAAGTAAATGATGGGGTGGATGAGGAAGAGATGTAGTGTAATGAATTGCTGAGAGAATAGCAATAAGCTCCAGGAAGAAGATGTCGATGATTATGCCGGGTGGTGGTGGATGAAGTTGATAGACAAAACCATTGCCAGCAAATACGAAGGACAGTCCAAGACGCAGGGCAGCATCTGTCCAGATGATCATGTCTGCTTCGCTGTCAAGCCAGTGTGTGGAGTCTACAAAGCATACACTAATCACTTCAGGTAGGGTCGTCATAAGCCACGTAAGATCTTCTCAGATGGCTGCATTGATGAAGACCTTCATAAATTTGAATGACTTGCCTGCCATTTTTCGGTATAGTTCAGACAGGGCAGGACGTCCCCAAGGGAAGACGTTCAATGCCCAATTGAGGTATCCTGCCATGCATTGCCATTTTAGAAGAATGGGCACTCGTCCAGGCATTGCAAGGAAGGCCTCAATGTCTGAGACAAGGTGGCAAATGGAGTCGTGGTTGAGAGAAATGCTTCCCTTGTTCACATCCACCCAGAAACCAATGATTTTCAGTGTTTGGCCATGCAGCTGCTTTGGATTGTCAAACAGGCAGGAGATGAACTCCCAAAAAATCAACAATTGGACTTGTTGACCAGACCGTAAGAGTCCTCGATAGAGGACTAGGTTTGTTGCAAAGTCCCATCCAAAGAAGTCATCCATATAGACGTGAAGATCAGGAATGTTCAGTTTATGGATTTCAATCCAACAGAGTAGCCCTGAGATGGTGCACCAAATGCGAGACGACGCTCAATTTCCAAAAACTAATCATCGTACAATGTGGTAGCAATTATCCACCATAACAACCTGGCGAATTTGCCAGAGCAGGTGTGCAGGCAGATTTAGGAAGGCTTTTGTGACATCACTCTTATAAAGGATAAAATCAGCGTCTGGATAACATTGCCGAGCATTATGCAAGGCCTGCCCAAAGGGGTGCATATCATCATACTTGACATGAGCTTCTTCTGGAGGAATTCCGGCATTGAGACCCAAGGCAGTATGGTCAGTGATGACTCATGGCTTTCCTTCTTGCCACACTACAAACATCGGGGAGACTTTCATCCCTAGAAGAAGTTGAAAATTGGGTGGTAAGGCAGGAGACCAGTGACCAGCTTCCACTTCACGATCTCTAAAGGCACAAATCTCTGCGAGGTCTGCTGGATCCGAAGCATAATTCTCTGACTTATCCCTACTACACTCCTCCCATTCTCTGAGGTCAAGTGGCCAGAAGCCGTCTCAAAGACCTTGGATAACAGACTCAACAAAAGGTTTATTAGGATGCAGCGAGAGGATGTGCTCAAGCCGGTCAACATTAAATGGAGTATCAACACATATATAATCTTTAAGAGCTGAAATAGTAGATTGCAGCTGTGGGTCATTGAGCAACTGCTCAGGGGGTGATGGTAAAGGACATGCAGATTCAGTGGAAGATGCTGCAGGAGAAAGAGGCTGTGATGGTAAAGAGGGTTCTAACCATACATAACCATGCTTGAAGCGAGGTCCAACTGACTGATCATCTTGCTTGCGTTTCATGCCTGCCAGTGATTTAGGGCCTGCTGCTGCTGCTGCCACTCTCGTTGTTACCTCCTCTTCCAAACCTTGCTCAGCGTCAGGCATGAAGGAGGGAGGCACATTCACCATTGTCTTTTGCTCTATGGTTGGCCCCACACTCACTACAGATGCCATGGCGATGACAATTTGCACATGGCTCCATCGAGCAATACTCCAAGTTCCAATTCTCACAAGGAGTCACAGCACGCTTTGGATTGGAAAAAGATGAAGAAGAGGGATGCTTTGCAATGTGCTGAGTGATTTCAGGGTGGAATATCTGAGATAGCAATGGAATCTGGACCTCATTCTTGAGATCCATCCTGAAAGGACGTTTCACATACCGAGAGCGAATATCCTCATCAAAACAGATAGCAATCGCAGGCTCATGAGGAACCGCTCTAAAGAGTTCCATCACAGTTTCCTGATAAGCTGCCAACTCAGCCTCATGATGAGGGTAGAGGGAGACAACACCCTTTCCCCAGGCATCAAACACATGATACCAGTCTGCCTCAGACACAATTGGCTGCTTGGCTGACGAAGTGTCTTTTTTAATGATCGCGTACCTCGCAAATAAATCTTTAGCATCCTTGTTGTGGTCATAGCCCCAGTCCATGGATGCAAAGAACTTTGTGAAGTCAACATAGTGGTCCTGAATGATGAGATGCCAGAAGGGATGAGCAATGGGTTCCTTGAGGGTAGTGATGTGCCAGCCTGGCTTAGGCTCAAAGCCATGGCTTAGGCCTGGCTTACATGGGCTAGGGCTTAACAAAACCCCAAGCCGGGCCCAAAGCCCTCAGAACTGGCTGGCTCAGGCTGGCTCCAGCTTAAGCTGGGCTTCTGAGGGATATACTGCTGCACATACAACTGTAGTAAATTACTCCATCATGAATATATCTACTACCTCTTCATCATCATTACCTAAATCACATTCTTCACCGTCCTCCTCTAAGATATCATCCCAAGATCCCTGTAGATCGGAGCACTCTTCTCCATCAACTTTCTCATGAGCTATCTCTGTAAGAGCACTCTCCACCTCATGAAAAATAAGATCATGATGGAAACCGCATTTGAGAAACTGCAGTGCCTCCACAACATCAGCCTTGAGTTGATTACAGCATTTACTAATCGTAATTCCGCTTGCCAAGAATGCACACTCACTAGATACTGACGACGCCATAATAGCCAGGTAATCAGCAGCAAGTGAGGCCCAGATGGGATAGCGATCGCCATTGTGCTAAAGAGATGAGTATTAGTGATTGCTACATGGTATTTAAAGAGAGAAATGTACCCCCCACCATTCAACAATAGTGTACTTACCAAGTACATCAGTCGAGTTTAAATAGCCATCAAAGTCTTGCAGCCAGGAATCAGCAGTGACCATAGATGGCCTGTAATTCTCTTCTTCCTCCTCATCAGAGAGAAGACCAGCAACATCATCTACATCCACACGTGTCTCACCAAGTCTTTTCTTCTTCCGGAGAGATGACGCCGCTGCACTAGAAGATCCAACATCACTGTACATTTCAATGTAACGTTCATGATACTTCACCGATGATACCAAGTCAAATCTACAAACCACCCATCAGAACAAAAGTACATACAATCTTCTTGGCCAATTTGAGAACACTTTAAAGAAGCTCCGGACCCCAGTACTTGCGAATATGACTCGTTTTACCAGATGGATTGAGTACTGCAAATGATCTTCAGCCCGACACGCAACAAAGAAACTTATTACATACACATTGCCATAACATAGGCATCTGATTCTCCTGTTTGGTCATTATACTCCGCTACTTTCTCTAAACCAGCTTCAAGTGCAGGCCAGAAGTCACTATACTTAACAATAGCCAAGCACCAAGTCCATGACTTGTGCAATGCCTCAAGTGCAGGAAGAACCTGATGGAGTGAAGGTGAGTGATCGGAGGAGAATGCCTGCTGCATCTTATTTGGTGCCTATGAAAATGTTAAAGTTAGAATGCGGTAAACAATATAAAGCATCATACAGCCAGAATCTTAAGCATCAGTTCAACATGTGCCCATTCCTCAGGGGAAAGCCTGAGCCCATCAATTTTGGCTCACTTCTGAAGGTCTTTCTCCATTATTCCAATGTCATAGACAAACATATTGACCTTCTGAAATTCCATCAATATAAATTTCACGAAATTGACAGGTGAATCAAACTCACATCCTTGAGATAATATGCTTATCACAGCATCACAAACGTTGAACTCCACTGAACAGCCATATCAATTAGCAACATAAGCAGCTGGGCTTCAGGCACACCATCTTGATGCTGAATCTCACAAAATTTCTCCTTTCATTTGGAAGAGGAATGTGCCTGTAAGAACATTTAGTACTGGAAGATTATCATTCCATGAAGAAGAACCTTGACTACAATCGAATGGATTAATCCAACCTCATCTCATATATCCGATGTGGTGCCTTCAGTCAGATCCTCATCGGGATTATGTGGATCGTAATGCTTCGACTGACTGCACATCGTTATGACAGCTTGTGTTGCAAGGTTCACAACGTGAGCAGTACAACTTCATGACCATTAGCAAAAGATGAACTGAAAAGAGAGAGATAAACCTCACCGAATGCGATGTTTAACTGCATCATAAACCTTTTTTGTGATCTCAGTAATTAGTTGGGCAAAGGTGAACATCATCGTATCATTATTTGATGCATTGTCGCACGTCACCCAACCAATCTTGACTATGTGGTTAAGAGATGCAAATAGAATGTAAATCATTAGACACCATATCTTGTGCTGAATGCCATATCGAGCAACAACTTTATACAGTGCCTGTCCAAGTCGAAGACCATTATGTGAGTTGTTCAGGCATACAAACCCAAGCAAGGCACTCTGCAATTTCCACTCCTGCTCGGCAACTTCTTCAATCCAATGTCCTGTTACAGCAAAGTAGCCATCAGTCATTGAAGCCTGCCAAGCATCACAGGTAAGACTAATCTGCCTCTTGACAGCTTCACTCTGGATATTCATTCAGAACTACACCAAGACATGAAGCTCATTTATGCACCTGTAGCCTCTTACGGAGAAAGTAAAGCTGACGCTTAAACGTCTCCATTATCGCTTGTCATGTCTGCTTCCTATTTGGTATATGCACTCCCTCTGAAGCTCGAGACGCGATGTGTATCATCTTCTTGAATGCTGGATGTTCAAAGGCATCAATTGGCTGGTATTACCACTTAGATTGACTGTATTCAGAACAATAAAATCATACCTGGTCAGTCATCACGAGCCATTCGACAGCAGCTTCTTGAAAGAGTTCATCTGTGTATAGAAGAATGACTTCTTTCTTCTCTCATTCTTTTAGATGTGGGTGGAGACATGTTTGCTGTTCACTCTCCATTTTTGCAGCCTTCAGTTCTTTATGGTCATCTGGCAGCATTAATGCAAAACCATTATCTTTCGCCCATTTTTGGTATGTAGCCTAGTATTTTATTAGCGTTGATAGTACTTGTAGAACTCCTCTGTACATACCTTGTGAAAAGATTGACAATGACGACGCAGAGTTGACAATTCATTGACCTTGGCTTTTGGCATGCCAGCCTTCTTTCTGCAGTCACAAAGGATTGTTACGAGGAGCATTACAGACCACTAGTTATAACTCACGTGCATATAGTACAATTCTGAACTCTCTTCCCATCTGAGTCAATGTACAGTTGCCCAAAGAAGTGCTCTATGTCATGAATCTTATTTTGTTTGCTAGGTCCTTCGGTGATTTCTTCGATGTCCTGAACAGTAATATCTTTGAGCATTCCATCAGCATCTGTGAAAACATAGGTATGAGTTTGTGTGAGAAATCATAACTCAAATGGTACCTGTTTCCATGGTTTCTGGCAGTTCCATCGCTTTACCTGGTGTCTTCTTGCCCCATTTGCGAGGTTGCTCTGTCAATATGTGAGTAATGTTCATCAGACTTAAATCATAGCAATGCGCTGTTCATACTTTTGCCCTTGGACGATGATCCAGAACCACCAGTCATCTCAACTACCTCGATGTCATCAACATCGGATTCGACATCATCAGCTCAGCGTTTGCAACTGGAGGATAGTCCCTCCATGTCTTTACTAGCAGAACTCACAGCATTATGAGCTCACTGATGGCTACTGAGCTGGAGCTTGCTGATATTTGAAGGGTCTGTAACCCATGTGGCAGGAACACATCTTCACTTTTCTAGGACTTTGTTGGTTGGACCGGGCTCATAGGGTGGGGAATTTGATTCATCTATACTGGATATAAGTATTTTGCATCGGATAAATAAGTAACAGATCACATTCACCTTGCTGCATGCCTCTCAAGACCCGTATTTGGAGCCATAGATGGGATAAAGCCCCTAGTCCTGCATTGTGCAATGACTCTCCAGGGAGTAGGATACGTCTCGCAGATGTTGTCAGCATGAGAATTCCTTGATTATCGTATGGAACATAGCCATGTGCTGACAGCTGTTGTATCACTTGCTTGGAAGTGGTAAATTGATTGGCAACTGGAGCAAAAATAAAATCATGTGACAAGGAGAAAGGAGTTGCTTACGAAGTGGAACAGATTGGCCAGAGGCACCTTGAATGAACACAGTGAAAATGTTGTCCTGCTGAGCTCGTCGGAATTTATCTAGTCAAATGTGGGACCAATGACCATGCCGATAGTGGATCCATGGTAGGGGCAAAAGCTTCTCAAAGGAAAGGAAATCTGGTGCCCAGTAATAGCCTGCCAGACATTGTTAGAGTGTGGTTTTTCAGCATGGTATGACACTTACCAAAGAGTAGAATAAACAGGGCCATATACCCATAAAACTACATCAAAATCAATGACACATCACTAGCTCTGAACGATTTTGAGATTACATGCATGGGCTAGCATGGAACACTGAAAAGAAAGCTCGCAAAAACATGGAGAGAAGAGCAGACTCCAGCAAAAAACAGAGGAAGGAGGAATAAGCCTATGACTGAAAAGAACCAAGTGTAGCAGTGGTGGAAAATTGTGGATGACAACGATGGGAAGAGCATCGCATGATGCAGCGACTTGTGATTCTCTAAAATGACCCAGATGCACATCAGCAGTAGAGACAATCATGTGCGAAGGGACCTACTTCGAGACATGGCTGGCGAGTGCCCAAGAGGTAATGAGATGAGTTGGGATGGCTTCTAACGATGCAGTGCAGACCCTATTTGTTTTTTTTCAGAGATAGCAGGCCTTCTAAATGCAAGATGTCAATGTTTTCTGTGCCTATTGAAAGACCTGTCCTGTTTTCAAATCTGCAGAATTGAAATATGTATATTGCTTGGCAGCTTGGACATGGGGAGAATTCTTGGGAAAGCATTGAATGGTTGATGTGATTAGACTTGCTATTGTACAAAAGTTATGGTGAAGATTCTGAGTAGGGAGTGGCAGGAGTCATCTACAGTTGGGCAAACAATGATGGTGGTAAGAAGAAACCCGGAGATGCATAACCAGGTCCTAAACGGGAGCAGTAGTCCATGTGCCTTGGATTCTATTTTTAATGCAGTCAGCTGACAGTGGTACTTCACTCTCCAAAGTGCTGTGGAAAGCCCCTGGCTTTGGGCTGGCTTTGGGCTTTTGCACTCGCAAGCCGGGCCTTGAGCCCTCACAAGCCATCGTCAGGGCTTAGGCTGGCTTGGTCTTTTAGATGGCTGGCCTGGGGCCGGCTCTGGCTTGAGCCTGAGCTGGCACATCACTACTTGAGGGGCAGGGCCTGAAGGAATGCGATAAGATTATCAAAGCTCTTCTCAGTCACATAGAGTTGTCTGAGGTGGAATGTCTCAGCGATATGTGGGTCAGAGATCCTGGATGAGATGAGCGCCGCGATATGAGGTGCTTGCACCAGAATGGTCGAAGATATTGAAGCAGGCTTTTGAGAGAGCATTGCATCGAGACCAAGGAGGCCAGTGAGGATGCTGGCAGGGTCTGTGCTTGGTTTTGCGGATGATCCACCTGGCTTGAGCAATCGAAGCTTTGCATGGAGGCTTGCCCAGGCCACATCCTCAACTGCTCGCAGCCTGTTAGCCTCATGTTGCTTCTCAGCTGTATTATGATTTCGTGCTCTATCTTATCTTATCAGCTCTCTCGTAATCTCGCTATGCTAACTTTCCAGACTTGATCGCATTCTACCATGAGGGTTCAGTGTGTTTACCGCACTGTTGCAGACACTTGTAGTATATTTAGCACAACCCAAACTGTATTTAAGTAGCTCGACTGCAGGTCTTAAACCTCAGTCTCGAACTAAAGTTTATTCACCCAATAACCTAGTCTGAACTCACTCTTGCTCAACTAAGCGAAAGCTCCCTATACTCAAACCTGCGGACAACATAAAGCACCTGACCGAAGTGCGAGTCACACTTAGTTGTTTGATCTTGTTTGTGTAATCGGTCGCTAACAATTAGTTTGAGACTTTCTTACTCTTCATCAACAACCACGTTGACGAACAGTAACGAATGAACCCCATTGAACAATACCTCACCGACCTCTTTGGACTACAAGGCTTGATCGCCATAGCCTACCTTTCGTTCCTATATGGATACGAGTACCGAAGAACCCAGGAGCCAGTCTCTGAAGAAACTATCCCCGTCGAAGCCCCCAACCAGGAGGCTAGACGACCGGAGACACCCCCCCCAGACTACTACCCCAGAACAGAAGAGGGAATCACCTACCACTTCATATTCATCAACGACTCCGACTTCATCACAGACGACTCCGACTCCGACTCCGAAATGGAAGGATGGCCCGCACAAAGAGGCCCAGTCGTTGAAGAAGAAGAAGAGCAAGGAGTCTACGAAAGGGGGATGGACGAGCGTGTTCTCTCTCCCATTACCGAAGAGGAGAGTGAAGGGGAAAGCGAAGGAAGTAACCCCTGGGACGCTCCTTCCCCCACTTCAACCGAAAACTCAGCCGCCAACCCTGGATATGATTCATACGGACAGCACCTCTATCAAAGAGGGCTTAGACATCATTTGGGAGAAAGAAGAACGGCTGAAGATGGAACTGGAAGCAGTTCAGATGAAGAAAGCAGCGATACAGAGGAGGACCACGACAGCGACAAGCTCCCAGGGCCTCGCAACAACTGGTCCCCTCCAAGGCTGGACTCCTGAGGGGAAACATGAGGCCACTACTACACCCATAACAATTCCTCAGACGACGAAGGAAGCTATCTCAATCTCATCACATGCCCAAACACCCTGGTCATCATCAACGATAGGGCCAGGGAAGCAACTACTGAGCTCGACCAATGTGAGCCCACGTACGACGCCGACGCCAGCTGCAATATATGCAGACAAATACAGGACTATGCCGATGCATGGCGCATGTACGAAGGAATCGAACCCCCTTCCTCCATTGTCCCCTTTGCCATCTACCCCCTTGCCCCGGAGCACCCTCTTGCCGCCCCCATCCCCTTCATTGCCCCTTGGGTATGGGACCGACCCAGGAGACCAGACTTCGATCAAGTCATCCTCAGGGTCAATGAGTGGGCCCGAATCATCAGAAACTGGAACAGAATCGTTACAGGAAGCACGGAGCCTTTCGAGCGAGTCCGACCAATCGGACTTAGAAGAAGGCGAAATCTATGAGAACCCTGGAATAGGGCCGACTACGACCTGGGACAACAGCACAGAGTCGGAGAGTATGGTGACGAGGATGTCATCCCGGAGTTCATGGAAGGATCTAGTTCGGGAGCCTACTGAGGACGAACTAGAAAATATGACATATTTAGAAATGCTTCACTGGATGGAAAAGAAGCTACCCAGAGAGATCTCGTGGAACGGATCGCCCCAAGGCAGACACTTCCAGAACCATCGAAGTGATCACATCAGGGCCCAGATACTATATCGAGAAACGATTTTCCACACCAATATCTTATGGAACCAGGTACACCCGGACGACTACACAGATCCGGGAGAGCGGTACGAAGTACCAGAACCCTCAGAAGCAGAGAGCGGAAGTACGGTGGACCTTAGTCACCTGAGCATCCTGAAAAGGACCGGTTATGTGGACCCTAGCAGGCTCTTTGCCACAGCAGGAACGCCGGGAAGCGCAGGTGCAGCCGCCACCGCAGCTGCAGCAGTCCCTGTGGTTCCAGCACCTGCACTGCAAGGACCCTTGTCCCCACATCACAACCCTGCATCACGATCCCTACCATGCCCCGCAGCTATCCCTATCCCTGCAGACCCTGTACAACCACCGAATTGTTACGATTTATTCATTTCTTTTCTTTTTCCTTCGTATTACTCAGCCCAATTACTCGTATGTGATCATGACGGACGCATTCCCACAGTACTATTTTTAGTTTACCAACGTGTATTTAAGTAGAGCCTCAGCTGGTCTAAACCCCAGCTTCGGCTAAGGTTTAATCTACCTAACATCGAACTCCATCCTTCGTGACTATCTGTCCCATCGACTTTCGTCGCCTTTGACTTGCTAGAGTATCTACTGCTGAAGTGCGAGCAGGGATCCTAGTACGATCTAAGTCGATTAGAGTTAGTGGCTAACATTTAGCCGAAGCTCGTCCAACGTTGCCCAGCGTCGTGCTGCTCAACATTTACCCTTTCATTATCCTCGTCTTGGTGGCCGACTGGATCCTCCCACTCGTGCTACCAGACCCCATTCTCACCGTCATCCTAATAGTCCTTGTGACTACGCTTTTCATTCTAGCAACCATCCCGGCACCACTACTAGCAGCTTTGCTCGTAGTGGCCTACGTTGGTCTTCTACGAATCTAAAAGCACGAATCCTTTTACCCTACTCTTTCAGCTCGCATCCCTGTTGACAATTTTATTGTTGACATTAACGAGCACCTCCGACACTAGCGAAATCCTGTTGATGAACGGTTCCAATTACGAGACCGACCTCAGCCTGATTATCACAATCTTAATCGTCCTCACTATACTTGCTGTCTACCAGCTTGTATGGTCAATCGTCGACTTACACCAAGGATAGATCCACTCATGGATGCCCTGGTCCGACGCCATTCCCGCCGTCTTCATGACTTTTATACTCTTTTTCTTGTCCATTATTTTGTACCGACTACACCGCTGTTTTCGACAACAGAGGAGAGTCCACGCACAACTCCCGTTCCATTACGTTCCCAGCACGCCGGCATATCCCCCACCAGTAATACACATTCCCACCGCATCTCAACAGACGATACAAGATGTCGAATCCAACGCCTCCAGGGAACCTGGAGGATCCCTCTATGGATTGTCGCGGTCCAGCTCGCGATCCTCAGAGTCGAGCACCAACTCCTACAGAAGCACTACTGCCAAGTCAGCAGACTCAATCGACATCACCGATACCCGGGGCATACTCCTCGACAGAGGAGACTCGCCCCTACCAGGCCTCTTCGATCAGTCTCCAGTCGAAGGCGAGTCAGGCCCCGACCGAGGCCGAGGACAAGGCACCAGGCATCTGGTTGAGGGCAAAGAAAGCTCTGACACCGAGTTCGAAGGGGATGAGCTCTCCGACTGGGAGAGGACTTGACTCGATGACCTCTACCCGAACACGGAGGAAGATGCGACCTATACCGGAGACAATTGGAGTGGAAGGTCAGGAAACTGCTGGACAGATGCAGTCTGGAAGAGCGAGAGTAGGAGGTACCGAGTCGCCCAGGAGGACGACTTCGACAGTGATTCCGGAGAGCTTGCCCTTGGGGCCTCCGCCGCAACTACCGCCCATACAGATGGAACAAGACCCATTCTTCCTAACTGGCTGACGGACAGGGGCCCCCCAATCGGCTGGCATCCCCGCACCAGTTGGGTCTACGCCGAGCCAGGGGAAGAAACTCCTGTGGCCGGAGTCATGCCCCCGAGGAGCCTCTCTATCCCCGAGCGCCCAGAGGCCCCAACGCCCGCTCCCTCCATCTCCGGGGCTGAACCGACGGATCAGCAGCTCTGGGAGGAGTTCCCGGACTACGATGAAGAGGAGCTTGGAGCAGTTGCCGGGGCCGGAGACCTCGCCCCAATCCCCTTTACACCATCGGTTGCAGGAAGAGCCTTCGCCGACCCGGTCCCTGTCACCCAGCGGCCATGGCCACTACTCTACCACACACTCGTCGAGTCGCTCAACCTCCCTCGAAATGCCTGGGAGTCCC